TTTATTACTATTATGGACTGACTCTGATATGCATCCCTGTGAGAGCTCGTCAATCACTGGCTGCCAATCCGCTACATCAAGAGCTGTAACCGAGAGATTCAGGTTCGATTCTGTCGGGTTATCGAGGCCAGTTGCCCACCGCACAGCAGCAGCAAGTGCAACTACTTCTGCTCCTGCTCCGCCACCAATGCAAACAACCTGTCTGTTTCGTAAATCCTCGATATCAATAGCGCGGGAGCTTGACGGGCCTGCAGGCCGTCCTCCCTGATCGCCATTCAACGCCAACCGCAGGGCGTATTCGAAGATACCAGTGTACGCGAGTGCTCTCCCAGCACTCCAGCGAAGAGCATAAGCCCTCAGCATGCTAGGGTCCGCATCAGCAAAGGCAGAGTCGAAATCGCGATTAAATAGATGCGACTTGATAGCCTGAACCTGTTCTCTCAGTGTTGTGCCGGCGCCACTGCCACTCTCCTGCTCAGCAGCGGCAGGCCGCACCGCCAGCCTATCCGCAAATATATTCAGAATCAGCTGTTGCAGAGAGATCGGCGCAGAATCGACAAGTGATATGGATGCACTCTGTGTCCTGTGTTGGGTATCAGTAGTCGATTTCACTTTTGAAGCCTTCCGGGCCTGCGGGCGAGGTTTCGGCATTTTTTGCTTCGGCTACGCTGGTGGATGATATCGCCGGCGACCCTGGGAAGATAGCTAGGAGTTTTCACTCGCTAGATGCCGTTTCCCCTGCTTTATGGGATGGATAAGCCTTTTCTGACGATGATTGTCGATTCAACCTGGAGTTTATGCATGCAATTTTTTTTACTTTCGTATTTTTCGTCTTTTTTTGCTGTGTAAGCGCTGGCTGGGTTTCCTGTGTTGGAACTTAGTTATACAGACGGCCTACAAAGCTAAAAATTGATATCTAGGTCTAACATCACCAAGTGGCATACTGCTAGAGCACATCTACAGCTGGATAGATAGCCCATCCATGAGATATAATGACACTATATTCCTATATCCAGAGCCTAAACAAAGTCTAAATGAGTCGCCATGAAGTCGCTTTGTACGCCCGGTTACCAAAAGTCAACACCTCAAATGCCATACCAAATACTACATCTCGGGTCTTTCACATCCTCACCTAAGCCTGCGTTTTCCTAAGGTTAGTTTGGTAGCTTCTTAGGCTTTGATCTTCTACTCTCGACCTCAACCCACTCCGTGTCGCACTCCGTTTCGTCCAAAAACTCCCAGTCGGTCAAGGCAATGGATTCCAGGGAGCTGCTCTTTGATATGCCCGCCGCCGTATAGAACTCTGGCTCCGCTTTCCCCTTCTTTATGGTGCACTTTGGGAGGCTGCCTGTCCCAGTGTTGCACTCTTTTCTCTCCTTGTTAGTACTAGAGGGTTCCTTCCTTGAGGTCGGGTCGTAGTTGAGTACGGCAAGGGATATAGTCCGAGGAGTTTTTGATTCGATAACCGACATGAATTCAGGCTTGGGACATATCACGCGGCTGATCAAAAGCCCCCTAGAGCGGGATTCATTGGCGTAGTGACGCATTTTCGACAACAAATCTGCAAGCTGCACGAGATCAGGCCGGTTTTTATCTTCCCACTGACGCAAAAGTGAGGTCGTATCTTGGACCTTAGCATTATTGTACGCTCCACCCGTCTCTACAGTCATGATCTTCGAGACTTGCCGAATCCACATCCAACCGATATCTCCCTCCGAAGGTGAATCGCGGGGGGCGCCTTTTTCATTGCCCTTAAAGTCGAAGATTGCTTCCTGCGGTATGATCTTCCCACAACGATAAGCTACCGGGAACCCTTTGGCTGAAGCACCAAATCTAGGGGCGTCTGAACCGTTCTCTTTCTCCACAACCGGATCTTCACCTTCTTTGCTCTCCGCTGCCTCTCCAGTTGACCCCGGAAGGTAGCCATGGGTGGAGCACCTGATAAGAATACGGTGCCCCCCGAAGACGTACGAGAGCACTCTCTGATGGGATATTGAGTCTTTGACGCAGTCTTCCCACGTGAGAGCGTCATCTACTAGAGGCTGATAGCTGCATGGGTAGCGTTCTGATTCCTCGCTGGCAATAAACACGGTCCGGTTGACTAGTTCAACTTTCAAGTTATGGTCGTTGGGCTCAAATTGTATGAAGGCGAGCATGAATTCTATGGCAGCAGCGTCAATCACAAAGTCAAACTTGTTCAGTTCAAAGGCCGGATCCATAAGCTTAGCAGCATAAATCATAGGTTCCAGCGGGTGTCCATGCCATCCACCCTTGCCGTCATTTTGATACACTACCCTGTAGGCATCTTCGGGACTTTTGCCTGGCAGCCATTTGTAGGTGGTTCCAACATCATTCTGGGATATTCCTTCAGTTTCAGCCTTATCGCATATACTGTGTGATGGGTGCCAAACAGGGGGAGCTCCTATTCATGGCCTACGTTAGTGATCGAGTATTATTATTGGAGTAGAATAGACCAAATCAAGATCGGTAGCTCCTTACCTGGAATTAGCATGGTCACCCTATTCTTGCGTACCCAGTTGTATGAGGCCACGCATTTAACCTCCGAGATTTTTGCAGGGCCTAGGCTTTTGATATTGTGTTTCCAGCCCAGTGTATGTTGATAAAGCTTACACATGCCCTGATTTGTAGAAAGCTTGGGGCCGCCATAGACCTCGTCTTTTACCCTTAATCTTTCAAATCTATTGTCCAAAAGAGGATCGGGCTCCATTTTTGGCCGGTCCGCCGATCTGTTTTATTAGTAGGAATGCCTGAAATACTGGCTCTTGTCAGTCGTAAAGAGTCAAGGGGATAGGGGGATATGCTGGAGTACGTATCCCAAAATAGACATCTATCTGGAATATTGGATGTAGAGCAAAGCAGCATCATATTTGCTCAACGGTAATTTTTCTTTCCTGGAAAAAGCTTGGGTTTTTATAGGCAGAGGAAAAGTTAGAAGGTTCCGGTCTCTGAAGGGTCATCTTTGGAACTCTGAATATCATCACAGTCTGAGCAGGCGCTGGTTTGCATTGTTTGTGGGTATTTAGAATTTGGAAGGACCAGTGACATGAGTAGTGGCAGAAGCGTCTACTAGAAAAGTTTGATGGTACTGTGAGGTGGCTGTTAACATATGTGAAGCCTTTAAGGAGATGGAAAGAAACGTACCTCTTCTTCCATGGTGAAAGGCAAGGGCATAATTTGTAGGAAGTTGATGGTATAGCTACAGCGTTAGTAAAAAAAAAAATATAGAAATAAAAAGTAAAGAAAAAAATAAATAAATAAAAATAAAATAAAAAAGATAAACTGGCAAAACGGGGAAGACTTGGATGAGAAGAGACCATATAATTAAACAAACTAGAAGAGTAGCTTTAATACATCGCTTTGGGGGGAGAATCAGATACTTGTTATACAGTCATAACAAACACACCAACACCTAGCAAGCTTCTCTGCTTTATGATCTCAAACCAAGGAGAAGGCCGGTGCCTTTTCCGCCTTCCTTTCCACCTTCGCCGCCGGGAATATATGTGACATTGGGGTTTGAAGCAAGTGTCTGGGCAATATCTCTGCTGGCTTCGATTCTTCGGATTTGGATCAGACCGTCACCGGCTTTAGCAACTGCCTTGCTGATGATATCGGCACTCTCTGCCTCTCCCTCGGCACGGATAACGTTGGCTTGCCTCTCCTGCTCAGCTCGCTCGACGATGAAGCGGGCTCTTTCGGCATCTTGCTGTGCAATCTGCTTCTGCTCAACGGCCTTTGTGAATTCACGGCCAAAAGTCATATGGGTGATGGAGACGTCCTCAAGGGCAATGTTGAACTCCTTGGCACGTCGGAGAAGGTCGGTACGAATGCGGTTTGACACAGCTTCTCTCTGGGTGATCAGCTCTGCGGCATCGAATTGTGCGACGATGGACTTAAGAACTTCGTTTCCGATGGATGGGAGAACTCTCTCATCGTAATCTTGTCCAAGTTGCTATAGCAGCCCCATATTAGCAATTCTGCCGTTGCCTACATGAGTTTATGCAGCGGATATTCCACCTACCTGATATATAGCAGGTAGCTTCTGAACCTCAGGCCTATGTAGCACTCTGAGTGTCAGGCTGACCATCTGCAAATCCTTACTTCCGGTTGTTGTAGAGATGTTCCTGGGCTTCGTCCTGACATCATAGATAATGCTCTTCTGTAGCCATGGAATAAGGAAATGTGTTCCCTCGTTGACAACCTTTTCCTTCACACCAGTGAGTCTGTCAAAGATAACTGCGCGGTATCCTCCCTTCACATCGTACATTGAGGCTTGGACAAAGGAGACGCCAACAGCAGCCGGAATGGCATATTTGTAGAGAGCCGACAGAGAGTTCGCCATGGTGAATATGTTCTGCTCTAACCGGGTGTTTAAGGCTGGTGTCTGTATCTCGTTCGCAATGGGTCGGCAAATTGTCTCTTCGCGCAGAACTTTGGAGGTTTTCGATTTGATATCCTCACCATGCCCGAAACGGCCTAGCGCCGACGCAGAACATGTCCAACTTCTTCGCCAACGCCGGAAGCACAACTTCGCTCTGGCTTCAACCTATCGACCAGATCTGCCAATTGACGACCGCAGCGGCCAGGATTTCTGTGCTTTTACCTTCCCTTCCTATCGTTCAGTTCCTTTGTCGACATCATGGGTGGTCATCTCGACCCAAAGCATGGAGTGTAAGTGCATTTCACCACCACTGTTTCCGAGACCGTCGGCATCATCAGGACTCAGCCATCGCTTTCAAGGCGGTTTGGGAGATGGTCAAGAGCGCATAGTGGACAGGTATGCTGACAACTGGCTATAGGTTCCTCGGTGGATGGGGTAACTTGGGTATGTTCTGCTTCCCTCTACGCTCCGTACATCAGCCGTGTCCCGCTTTCACAAACCCCGGAACAATGCCCTGCGACTTCACTCGATACCGGCCTGTTGCGCTATCCGATACCCAGGCAGCTAATTTTTTTGTCAAACATCAGGTGTCCCTACCCCAATGAAGGGTATCACTACCTACTCTCTCTCTCAGAACCGTCAGCGACCCGCAGCTGGCATGCTCTACAATGCCTTCTTCAACACCTACAGACGAGCCAAGGCACAGGTCCTCTACGTTCTCCCCCCATTCATTGCTGCCTACGCTCTCATGGACTGGGCCACCAAGAAGTATGTCCTAGCTTTTCATCTTTCTTTCCTTCCTTTCCTTTCCTTTTTTTTTTACACCACTGAATAGACTATGGGTATTTGTGTACCGAGTGAGTGATGCTGATGATGAATACAGGAACGAGTATCTCATGTCCAAGCCAGGCCGTCTTGCCCACGGTGGTGATGACGAGTAAACTTACGAAGAGTACCAATTAGAGGAAGACTCAAAATTACGGATTGGTGATTGCACTGTATAGTACTTAGAAAGCAATTGATATCTATATACAGCTGGCCTTTATTTCTCTACTACTCAGTAGCGCTTGTAACGAAACATTAATCAACTTGACAAATAGAAATAAATATGTTTGTCATCGATAAAAAAGAAGTAGAAAAAAAAAAAGAAACAGAATGACCAAACTGAGGCTCGATCTCAGGACCTTGTCGGTGTTAACGACACGTGATAACCAACTACACCATTCGGCCGTTTCATTGTTGAAGGCAAGCGCACTGCATCGCCTTTTTAGGGCCGCAAATATGGAAATTTCCGCTTCTGGTTTAGCGGCGGTAGGTTTTGAGTTTTCGAGACAAGCAGCTTTTTTTTTTTTTTTGGAGATCGTGAAAATATAGAAAATTAAAGACGGTTGCTTTTCGCTACTATCAGAGTGCCATCTACAAGACCCCTTGACACGACACGGATACGTTGTTTAGCGGAGTTTGGACGGGAAGAGGCGTGCTAGGCTTATATCTCACACAATGGCCAAGGACCGAAGCGATAAGGAGAAGAAAGAGAAGAAGGAGAAGAAGCGATCGGAGACCGATGGTGTGCACAAAAAGTCCAAGAAGGAGAAGAAGAATGTAGACCTTCTCGAGAAAGCTGTGGAGCAGGAATTGGCCTCCAGGACGCCAGATGCCGATGCCGTCATGGTCAATGGCGATGGTAGCGAAGAGCGCCCTCTTGGAGCTTTGGTGCCTTTCGCAAACCCGCTCGCAGAGGACAAGGTCGCGAAGAAGGTGTTGAAGAGCGTAAAGAAGGGTGAGTTCTCCCGTTGCGCTATTATTGCTCCTGTCCATGTAGAATCATATGGCGCTGACTGCTATTTTGCGAAATTTCAGCTGCTGGAAGCAAGGCCCTAAAACGAGGAGTAAAGGAAGTTGTCAAGGCCGTCAGAAAATCTCCAACCCCTTCAGCGAATGCAGCAATCACCACGCCATCTGCCATTGTTGTACTAGCTGCAGATATATCTCCAATGGATGTGATATCCCACATTCCAGTTCTTTGCGAAGACCATGGAATCCCTTACATTTATGTCTCCTCCAGAGCCGAGCTTGGAAACGCCGGTGCTACCAAACGGCCAACCAGTGTCGTGATGGTCCTTCCAAAGGGAGGAAAAAACAAGAAAAAGGACGAGAAAGAATCCGATGATAAGAAAGAGGACTACTCAGCAGTATACGATGAGCTAGTCAAAGTTGTCCAGAAGGAGACCAAGAAGGTCAAAATATAGAGAGTTATCTATACCACTCCCTATCTTCTCCCTTTACCTCTCTAACGGCATGATCCACCCACCACTCACCCGTCTTCCTTGGACACACGTGTTAGACACATCTCTCTTCGTTCCGTGCTCGTCATTTCATCTCCATGGCAATCTTCTGCATCCTGGCAATGAATTTTGGACTTGTGTTCAAATTTGAGGGGAAAATGGGCTTGTTTTTGTTTGGCTTCCCTCGGATTGGTTCTTCCTACAGCTTCCCTTGACTCTTCAGTACTCTTTTCTTATATGTTCCATGGCGTCTATGTGTGTTTTATGGTGTACCATGAGGATGGAATTAAAAATCTTTTATTCACTTTGCTGACAATACGTTCCCTATAATACCAATATTCATATTTTGTCACAGTAGAGCTGTGTTGCTAACGTTACAGAGACGAGAAAGACGTTGTTGAATAACACCTTATGCATCTTCTTCAGATCCAAGCACGTTATATGATGCTCCGGTCTTCCTTTCGCTTCCTCCCATGAGATCCGGTCCTCCTTTAGATATTGGCCCTGGAGCATTCTGTGCGCTCATAGTGCCAATCTCCTTTTCCGCCTGCAGACCTGGATCCTTCTTAGACCCGATATCAGCATTGAAGCTCGCATTCCGTGCAGGGTCATCTCCAAATCCACCTTCTTTCAGGTTCTTGCCTTTCGGTTTTGAAGCCTGCCCACTACCAAGCACTGGATCGACGTAATGGGGGGCAGTGTTCAATGATGAACCTGGGCCATCTCCTTGTCCTGAGCCAGTAGCGCCTGAAGAAGCTCCTGAGGTCTCATTACTGCCCTGGCCCTGATTCTGCCTCTCTCGCTGCTGTTGTTCGTCTCCAAGAGACTTTGTCTGCCCCTGACTTTGGGCCTGGGTCTGAGAGCGTGTCTGCGGTCGTCCCTCTCCCCATTCGGCTTCAGCTAGGCGAGCCTCCGCATCTGGAGCTGCTTGAAGCTTCGATGCACTAGAAGTGTCTGTATTTGCAAGCGTGGAATGGCTACCCTTTACCCCCAGAGGCTGGCTATTCTTATTCTCCCCAAACTTTCCCTGTTCTCGTACTGACTCGGCGGCGAGTGAGTCGGAGGCAACTGGACCGGCAGATTCGTTTTTCACGCCACCGTTGCGGAATGGATTGGACATGATGATTTTTGGATGTTGTACTATTTATACTAGAATATTGTATGGTAGGATGATTGTATGTTGGTAGTAGGTGAATACCCAAATGCTTTAAATACCATCTCTGTTACGGAGTACTATGAATGTGTGATGGATGCAAGAGCTGACATCATCATGACGTTGATAGAAAATTTTACCTCGAGGGACAAGTATAATTCCTTGTTTGTAATTCAATCTCAGGCACTACAGAAGTTCATGTACTCAATGCCAGCTGATTTCCTCGTCCAAATAACGTACACAGAACGGATTGTGGTGACGTAACTAACTAAACACCGGCACGCGAATAGTTACGAGCACCCATCAGATCACAACGTTGCTCCCTGCCACGAAGCCCACCTGGAAGCATACTCAGCCTCGGCCCTAATCCTGTTGAGTATCGGATCAAACTCCCTCATACATTCTATAGCTTCCTTTAACGACGGGTCTTCACTTTTCTCGCGCTGGGAGGCCAATTCTTGAACTGCTGCTCTGGCTGTATTATGGTGAACGGCGTAAGTAGCGCCTTCGCCACGTTTCAAAATGAACAATAACTCGCCAATTTCCTTTTTTGAGGCCAGATCCTGCAGATTTGTTGACGAAACCAGCTCTCGCGTAGATGGATCTAGTACGGACTTGATTATCCAGGGCTGTGTTGTGCAGTAGAGAGACACGGACGCGTTGGAGTCAGTGCCATCGCGCTCCTCAATCAAAGATTGCCAAGTAATTGTTGGCCGTTGTGTTTCCATTGCATCTGGAGCTGCCATGGCGACGACTTTTTTAAACGCATCCGCATTTAACGATGGGACAATGATTCGTAATTCTTTCCAACCATTACCAAACTTCACGAATCCGTCAACAAGGTCATAACACGACTTCGTTCCATAGACAGTAAGTGTATCCAGCCGAAGACCGGGTATCAGATTAAACCTATATGCAATCGAAGATTCCGGTATTTCGGACAGAAGCCAGGTGAAAGAGGCCAATCTAAGCTCCACATGGCGGATCCTCGAACGAAGCTGCAGATGTAATCGATTAAAGTGACAGACCGAGTAATCAGGGTGATCAGTAGAGAATTTAACGCTTCCAAGGAATAGAGTGCCCGCTTCACGAAATATTTGGCGACAGGTACGAAGGATCGCTAGCGGGTCGTATTTCGGCCCGTATCTTTCTGTAAAGAATATTCCAGCTGGGCGAGGGTCTCCGAGATAAATTGTGACTGACATGAAGTAGAACATGTAGATTTTCAGGCGAAGCTCAAGCGGGAGAGCCAACAACATGCTGACGTGCTTCCTCGCGTGGGTAAATACGACTGGCTGTTGAAGCAACCACATGGCTGCGGACTGCTATGATAGCAGCAGAATAGCTTTTCTGGGGAATATTCGAAGTTCGGTCAGGATTTGGATATTTGGGAGAACTGGCAGATTCCAAAAGTGCAGTTCTCGGCTATTTATATAAGGTAGAAAGATGTGAGTGAATCGTAGGACGGCAATCCATGATGATTCACTGTTTGCGTCGCATGGCCTAGTGACCAGGACACGCTTCTTATGACTGTGAATAACAAAGCTAGCATGCTGCCATTATCAAGATAAAGAGCATTCATTCTAGGATAACGGTGTATAGTGAATAGAAATAAGTCCATTGGACTTTCTATTTGTGGGTATATTCTAGCAATAGTTTATGGTGAACCATAATACCAGTACGCATTGTTGATAAGTAATGGGTCAATTTGATAACAATATAGCCATTATCTGCAGCGTAAGCCATAGTACTAGGTGGTGGGTGTTTGATGTTTTGTAGATGTTGTTGTTGAGCTGAAGTTGATGTCAAAAGTAAGTAGTTAACTAGTTACGAGTGCCAAGACTTCGAGACTTTTGTGCCGCAAAAGCATCCAAACCACCAACGTCAAGCAAAAAGCCACCACAAAACGCGCAAGCAACTGTCATGCCTCGCGACCCGCTAATTGGGCTTGTTGGAAAGCCATCTTCTGGAAAATCAACTACATTAAACAGGTATCAATCCCTCCTGGGCAAAATGGGACCAGTGAAAAGTTCACTGTGAGATAGAAATGTCTGACATGCTAGCGGGGCAGCTTAACAGATGCTTCATCCAAAGTTGGTATGTTTTTTCGAAATCGCGAGAAGTACGTCCGTAATGATTTAGAAACTGATAAGAGTCATACGCTGGCACCAGGGAATTTTCCGTATGTTTATTCCGCCCTCTGTCTTTCGTCTCACTGGGAGCTAACCAGTGTATTCTGCTGCGCATTAGATTCACGACGATTGACCCGCAGCGCGCTATTGGATATCTACAAGTAGACTGCGCATGCAGCCGGTATAATCTACAGGACCGATGTAAGCCCAATTATGGCGGATGCCACGAGGGCCGTAGATCGGTGCCGATTGAACTCCTGGATGTTGCTGGTCTTGTGCCGGGAGCCCACGAAGGAAAAGGCCTTGGAAATAAGTTCTTAGATGACCTGCGGCACGCAGACGCATTGATACACGTGGTTGATGTCAGTGGGACAACTGATGCTGAAGGTAGGTGTTTGGTACTCTGGGACAATTAACGGGTAGAAAACTAAGGTCGAGGACAGGAAAGGTCACCAGAGGGTACGACCCGTCTCAGGATATTGTTTGGTTAAAATCCGAAATCGTTAGATGGATAGAAGGGAATCTAATGGATAAATGGTATTTCTCAGTCCTCGTTGATCTATACATGCGGGTGGAATGCTTACTCGCTCTATAGGGGCTCGATCAAGAGAAAACATATTGCAACGAGTACGTATGGGACTTAGTGATACTCCCTTCTACCTAGTAGCCTGTTATACCCTGACATAGTGATAGAGTCCACTGCTGTCGAGACTTTGCAAACACAATTTTCGGGGTATGGAAGTACATCGAAGATTGTTGCAAGATGCCTTGACCGAATAAATTTGAAAGAGCCGCTGGAAGAGTGGTCAAACGAGACTATCTCGAAAGTTGTCGTTGCTTTTATTGACGAAAAATTTCCGACTGTTATCGCACTTAATAAAATCGACCACCCGGATTCAGATAAGGCACGTTCGCTCCCCCTTGCCCCTTTTCCGTGCTGAGGGTATCATCAAGTGTTCTATTACTGACATTTGAATTTCAGAATATTAGCAAGATCGCCAAACAGGAAGATCCTAAATCAATTGTTCTCTGCTCTGCCATCTCCGAGGTATTTCTACGGAAGTTGACAAAACAAGGGTATATTAAATATATAGAAGGGAGCGAATTTGTGGACACACGGGAAGACCTGATAGAAATGGGTGACCCTGATGGCGGAGGCCTGAAGGAAATGGATGAAAAGCTAAAGAAGTAAGTAATCCCACCCCCCATATGCCCAACATTTTTTTACCGATTCTCACCGATTCCTTGCAGTCGGGTTGAGAATTTGAAAGATCTCGTTCTCTATCGATTTGGGTCTACTGGGGTCGTACAGGTGCTCTCGCGCGCTGCTGAACTACTAGGGCTGGTCCCAGTTTTCCCGGTACGAAATGTTCACACGTTTGCATCTGGCGCGACAGGAAATGCGGTATTCAGAGACTGTGTTCTAGTCAACAAGTATGCCTATCAAATCCGCTATTTTAAAATTTTCAAAGCTAATTTTGCCTTGGTATTAGGAATAGTACAGTGGGGGATGTAGCCAGGAAGGTCATGGGAGATGTTCCTATTGCCTTTGTAGAAGGCGCGGAGGGGACGAGGATCTCCGAAGACGAAATTGTTTCAATCGGAAGACATGACGTGAGTACCCCTGATTCATATTGAAACTAACGGAACCAACACTGACTGCTGCCACCAGATACTGAGCTTCAAAGTTGGTAGATGATCTGCAAGGCGTTCAATCAAGTGCTCGGAAATTAGTTCTGTTGGGCACAATTTTGCTGCCATGTAATATGATGTTCAACATCTAGACCGGAATAACTCCAGATCCTCTGATTCCTGCTCCCGGTGGACCATACTTATGCACCCTTCTGCGCCACTCACGAATGCAAATATCAGCCACCCACCCTCAGTGAATATTGAAACAGGAATTGGCATCCTATTAGTACTGACCTCGCCCCGTTCGTCCGTCATTCCAATTACCGGTTTCGGTGCCTTGGGAAATTCCTCCTCTGTTTTGCTTGTTGACTTCTGCTGGTCCCTCTCTGTCGTGGATTGGCTTTTCGACAAGTCATGTAAGCCTTTCTTTTCCTCTTTCTCCTTAAGGCCCGACCTAGTGGCTTCAGTCTGCGGATCCGTGGTGTCCCCTTTCTTCACGCGGTTCACACTTTGGTCCTCGGCGCCAGAGCCACGCCAACTACTCAGGTGGGCGGTGGGGAAATTGGGGCAAAACCATTCTCTGGGTGCAGGGCGAAGCCGTACGGTAGTCCGAGATTGTATCGCAGGAAGCGACGATAATATCCTTTTGAACGACATTATTATAATATCGAGTTGCCAATGTCACCAGCCAACAAAGCAAAACGATTGAATTGATTGGAAGAAGCCGCAGCAGCAGCAGCAGCAACAAAGCGCAAGTTTTGTAGTATATAGCCAGAACTGGCCCATGACATCATCACCACTCTCGGCGCCGGAAAAAGTTGACAAGATAAGGCTGCTGCCAGAAATCTCCGAGTTTCTACCGTCGTCCAACGAGAGCAGTAGGATTTTCAAGTGGTTATCTTGATTCACCGTATAATGAATGGTTCTTGTTCACTCTGGCTGGCCAACCATCTCCTGCCTGGGGACCTTGCTATGGTGGCGACATCACTGTACTTACACTTTTCTTGAACGGAGTCCTCCGTGCTAAAATATCTGTCATTTCAACAACTCAGCCTAGCAGGGCGTGCTTAAGTTGCTCAGGCGGCCAGCTGTATGACACACTGCACGGTTTCGTCTCGCTGCCAACGCAGCGAGTACTCCGTACTGGAGGGTGAGCACTCCTTGGTATACTCCTAGTTGCAGCTCAGGGCAGCACTGGAATCCCACTCAAAACTGTAACTAACTCGACGGGGTAATCTCGACGCCCTGGGATAGCACTGTCTGCTATAGCCAGATGCTCTCCACCCTTAAAGGGGAGCATCTTATAGACCAGGAAGCGGTCGATGGTCGTGTGGATGCTGCAACTAGTTAAGTATGTTTTTTTTTACTTAAGTCTGCACGTCCTAAGGCTGCTTCGATCGTGCCTTGCCCCTGACTAAGCAGCGACTTCCTTGCTATCAGGTCGCTCCACCCATAAAATAACATCCCTACGTCATATCAGACTTATTTACACGACGTGCTATCGTTGTTGATGTTTACATTTTGCTCACTGATTGCGCTACCCGCTGGATAGTCGAGGACTGATCTGCTGATCGGCTGCTGCGTGGGTTTTTTTACATTGCTAGTTAACCGTCTTGCGATTATCCGATAAGAGCTTGATCGTCCCCCCTACTGTCTGCTAACTAACTAGTTAATTAACCAGTTAGTTGAACTGGTGCCTTAACTACCGTGTCCTCAAGCGTTCCGAGGGGTTGGAAAAGAGGAAACGCACCCAGGGAAAGGAGATAGCCTGTAAGAGCCTTGACTGCATGTACATACGTGCTGAACCTATAATAATAATATTAATAACAAGATATAGACTTCTTACATCAGAACTCCATTGCAGGAAAGCAAGAATCAAAATAATGAAGAGACAGTATCTCCCGGTGGATGCGCTCCAGGCATGGGCAAGACTCAACAGCGTTACTTTTCATGGTGTTGAGATTAAGCAGCCTCCTTATGACGGTGAGGATATCGACAAGGGCTCGGCTGTGCTTGCAATTGGCTCTCCTGATAGTCAGGAACCTATTTTGGACGAGCCAGGCCTCGAGCCAGAGATACTCATGAAAGTCCCGCCCGATCTAATCCTCTCCCAGGAAAGAGTGGAAACTCATGCAAAGTCTGACAAGCACCTAAAGGATGTCTTGGACGCAGTCGGTGATTTTGGGAAGGTTAGTGCCCTTGCGCTTCCGGTTGTCCTTGTTTCAATAAGCTAGATTTGCATAGCTATATACATCAAATGCATGCATAGATTAAATAGGACAGTTAGGCTAATATTTCTTATAGGGATCTAGAGGTGCGATGATGATATTCTTGTTGCTCCAAATCACGCATTCAAGCGTAGGAAAGGGGGAACAGGTGGGTATTTCATCCCCATGGACAGAGTACATCAAGTTTTTCCCAGCGGTCTACGAGCTACCTACGTTCTATACGCTGGAAGAACGCGAGCTACTACGGGGAACCTCCCTGGAGCCTGCCCTAGATACAAAGATACAATCTCTCGCCCGGGAGTTCGACCATTTACGAGATAGCACGTTTAACATCCCGTGGTGTCAGAGGGAGTGGTGGCATCCTGAGACAGGACAGCTCGAGTTCGACGACTGGAAAGTGGTCGATGCAATGTATAGATCTCGTGCTATGGAGTTGCCAGGAACAGGTAATGCAATGGTACCTTGCATTGATATGGCAAACCACGTGGCTGGGAATAAGACCGTAGCTCTGTATGAGACAGACATCGATGGCAACGCCGTGCTACAGCTGCGGTGGGGTCAACGACTTAAGGAGGGAGAAGAGGTTACAATCACGTAGGTTTTGGATCTTGAAGCCAAAGAATACTTGAGAGGATCGCCACAGGGGGGTAGGGAGAAGTAACTGACCGTTGAACAGATATGGGGACCGCAAGGGGGCATCAGAAATGATATTCTCCTACGGGTTCTTAGACCAAGGTTTGAAGAGTGCTCAACAACTCCTCCTTGATCTCGACATCCCTGATGATGACCCACTTAAGCCACCAAAAAGGGCTGTATGCGAGGACGGCCCTGGGGTTCGTATTTTCGATGCGGGAGACGACCACGACCAAGAGACGGCTTGGCACAGCGATTTCGTCTGGTGGATTTGCGTCAATGAGGAGGATGGGTTGGAATTCCGGGTGTTACAGACCAACGATGGGGGAAGAGACCTGCGGGTATTTTGGAAGAAAGAAGAAATAACCGGGGCTCGAAAACTTGGGCAATTTTTGTCAGAGGATCCCAGATGGGATATCTTTCAGCTGCGAGCAGTGGTGATAATCCAGGAACGTGTTGCAAACCAACTTACTCTGTTGCAAGCAGCCACAGAATATGTCAGGGGGCTAGCAGATAAGGTGGATGATGTGCTTATTCGAAGGTCCGTTTGGGATACGGCCATGAAGTTTCGGTCTCTCGAGGAGAACCTTCTCACGAAAAGCAATCGCGATCTAGATGAAAAGGTTGGCTCCAGTCCCCATTTTACATATTCTTTTTTGGTACTTGACACGTGTGAAAATGCTAATTCGGCCGCCGGTTACTTTCGCAGAAGCTAGAGTTGCTTGAATCAAGAACGGTTCAGGCGTACCTTAATTCGCAGTGTTCTTCTGCTGACATTGATGAAGATTTCTCCTAAGGCAGCCAATTATCAGGCAGCCCTCGAGGTCATCCATGCGAGATATTCCCGTATGGAATATTTTAGCGTCCCGTTTATTGGGCATTTTCGTTTTTCCAGGCGTAGCTTGGCGTGTTCGATAGGTTATTCCAGAAAGCTAGTATTCGTCAATTAATAGCGAATAGGAAATACATAGTTAGGGGGCTTTGTCTGGACGATACAGACAGATCTCACCGTTAGCCTAATTTGGTGCGAAGTTCCTGTTCGTATGTAAAATGAGGGTGCAAGTTTAGCCTGTAGTACTCCACACTCACCAAAACGGAAAAGGACGACCTCTTAACTCAAAAGCGGGTGAATTTGAGCGGGTATTTATATCTGGGAAAACGAGAGGATATTCTTCAGTCCGTGCCCGTGGAGAAGCACGTTTCGCGTGATTCCTTAGATCTACTTATCTAGCCTCTTTAGAAAGTGTTCCGTGAACGGCGCATTTTCCTTATAAGGGGTGGCGGGCTGTCGACGAGACAAGAATCCATCCTGGCTGTTTGGCCTAAGTGCTCCTCCATGCTTGTTGTTTAGGGATTCGCGGTCCTAATAGCTATTTTTTCGAGGTGTCTCCAGTGGCATTTTTGACCTTCCCCTGAAGGTGCGATAGCCCTAGGATCTGGTTGGCTCATAAGAAAAATCAAGGGTCTCCAACCTCTCCTGCGCTGCCCAATTATGGGGATAATGGACCGTTTCCGACACGGTTGAACTTAAAATCAGGCGAGCAAATATTAGTGTAGGTGAGATTCAGCCTTGAACAACACCAACAAGGTCCTTTTAGGCCCTTGGTTGGGGAGGTGATCCATCAAATTCCAGTTTTCCCCAATCCTCCTTCTTTCTCTCTCATCTTCATTCACTCTAACGCTGTGCATACATTGTACTCAGTGAGGTTGTACAAGAGTACACCTGCTGCGTAACGCAGCAACTCGATGTCAAAGAGGGAGGCTCAGTTAAGCCGAGGGAAGGAGCCAAACCTTGCGATGCCCGTGATAAATGCAAGGAAGTCTTGCGTCTAGAATGGCGCACGAACCGTGCAGATCGCTCTGCAGCCGTTGTTTGTCTGGCGTCTGGCATAATTATAATAAGTTGGGAAGCCGATGCCGGTAACTCGGTGTCTTGGCTGGGAGTGTATCTGTATATCGATAATGTCCCAGAAACAGAGCGTTGGATTCTGCTCAACAAGATCGTTGCTCCCTGCCTTAGCTCGGGCATAGCCCTACTTTTCCGGGAAATATCTGTGGTCCTCGTTATTTTATGGGGATTTGCCGCGGGAAAGCAAAAGAACGGTAGGAGCGCCACTGCGGATGATAGACAGGGCCCGTGGCTCGACTAAGGTAGCGCCGAAAAAGAACGGTTAAGCTCTCGTGTCGTTGGTAAAACAGGGGAAGACCCAATGTTCTAGGGAAGATTGAGATGATTCCGGGCCTGGTTCGATATATGGAGACTGATAATGTCTTTTTCTGCAAGTCGCAAAGGTTAAGGGAAAAGGGTTCCCAAAAAGGTTAAAAAATCAAGAAATGTGGACATCTCTGTTACTGGTTGAAAGTTGGAAGCTTGCTTTATGACGAAAGGTCATGGAGGGACTGTGCAGGCAGAATGAAGTTTCTCCATCAAACAGAGACGAGCTTAACGAGAGGGCTCTCCGCTCATGCATCGGAGCAGGGCAGGATCAGGCTAAGGCGTGGCTGATATTCGCACGATTCTTTTCTTTTTCTCTGGCTCTCCCCTCTCCTCTTCAGGAACTTGGGAGTCCCTTTTCTTATGTTGCCATCCCCATTTCTTCATGGTCTTGTACGCTCGCTCCTCCACCATCATCGACCCACGACGAAAGTCCCTCGTGGTTTCAAGAGAGACATGGCTCCAAGCCGTGGCTCCAGGCCCGTGGCCATGCCACATGAAGCCACTGTAACTGCAACGGTCGATGGTAGTACTAACAGCGTTTCAGTGAGCGTGACAGCTCTTGCATCTGATGGAGTGTAGGGAAGAACTCCAGGTCTGGTCAGGTCTTGTGTTGTGCTTGCAAGGGATGCTGCAAGGAAGGTCAGATCATCAGATCCAGAAAAGGACGGCAGAGGGCTGAGTTGCGGCCAGGCATCGTGACTTTCTCGTCTTCGGGTCTGTTTTACTCCTCCCCTCGTTGTCGTTTTCTGTTAGCTTTGGGTCTTGCTTTTAGTCCCGAGTCCCTCCCGGTGGATATTCGATGTTGGAAGTTTCGACGTTGCCGAGCCGCGCAGAGACTCCGTTCGCCCGAGGTCTTGGCAGATATGCTGTCCCCGAAGTCACTCGAGCCCTGACGGAGAAGATGAACATTTTGGAGTGAGGAGGATGATGTCGACGTCGGTAGTGGCAGTGGTGGTGGCTGTGGGTGCGATAATGACAAGAAATTGAAGTTGAGTTAAGGTGTTCAAGGAGACGAAAAGGGGGATGGCCAAATCGGGAAAAGAAGACGACAAGGAGTCGGTTGGAGCAAGAAAAGATACAAAATTAACTATAAAAATAAAAATAAATAGGAAAAATAAAAAATTAAGGAAATCGAAAAAGCAAATAAAAAGGAAGATTGAACTAGGTTCACCTAGAGAGAGCTCGGGTTTTTGTTAACCATGGATGACTGAGTATACTGGGGGGGGGGGGGTGAGGAGACGATCTTCAATGCGTCTTAACTGGTCATCCTAACGCTTTTGCCAGACTTTGCAAGTGTTAAAAAGACCATATACTTATCTCTGGGGGCGGATCTGCTCCTGTCTAATTAGCCCTCTAGATTCTTATATATGATTTTTGCATTTCCTTCAATCAAGAGAGAGAACTAGGAATAGTGGAAGCGTACCTACTTAAAAAAACCCCTCACGATGGCTGAGGAGCCATAACACACATCCTTGCTCATCGTTGAACTACTTCCTCCAGCAAGACCAAGATATACAAGGACCAAAGGGGGCTGGACTCTTCTTCCTTAGTCTGCCTACCTGTCCCTCGAGAAACAAAAGGATCGATCCTCCCCTAGTTCATCTTATTGATCTCGGAATACCTACCGGTGTTCGAATTCCAACAACGATCGAAAGTGTGAAAGCAAGAGGGTAGCTAGCATGCCAGGCATCTTACCCATGAAGGTCATCAAGGTCGGGAGTAATTCACAGAGCAGAGTTGCCCAGGCCTGTGACCGGTGTCGGAGCAAGAAGATACGATGTGATGGTATCCGGCCATCATGCTCGCAGTGCACAAACGTCGGCTTCGAATGCAAGACGAGTGATAAGCTTAGCAGAAGGGCGTTTCCCCGTGGATATACCGAGTCCCTGGAGGACAGAGTCCGGTCCCTGGAAGCTGAAGTACGGGAACTCAAGTCTCTATTGGATGAGAAAGATGAGAGGATAGATGTCCTGACAAGGCTCCAATCGTTCTCTCTCTCATCTCAAAAAGCAACTTCTTCCCCAGTGTCGAACATCTCAACCTCACCTGCCGGATATTATCCACGGCCGCCTCAGGCATCACGGAATGAGGGCGAGGATCTCATATATGTCCAGCAGTCGGCACGCTCCATTTCAAAGCCGGCAGACGACACATCCTTCACTGGACATTCCAGCACACGGTCGTTCATAGGTAAACCAAGCTTTCCTCCTTACCCTGCCTTTGTAAGGGGGGTGTGTATATTATCCGACTAACATGTTTGGTCGATAGACTCGTTTTCTGTTCGACTTGAAAGGAGCGGCAAGTCACCAACCACTGCATTGGCAGACGCCCTGCTTTGTGCACCATCGTTGAATGCACGGCGGCACGAGGATATCACTCCATCCAACATTCTCCCCCGCCTCGTGTCGGATAGGCTATTGAACATTTTCTTCCAAGAATGGGCACCACTATACCCGATTGTCCATCGTCCAGAAATCCTGAAGTTATACAGTCGATATACGACCAACCCGGACTCCATTGAAGCAGACCACCATGCGTTTGCACAGTTGAACTTGATTTTCGGCATTGCTGCCATCTCATCCACGGTACACCTAAGCTTGGGTAACCCCCCTTGTTGAATCGAACATGTTTGAGCTAACCTTTGGCCTTCATCACAGTCTCGTGTGCCACAAGATCCCCTTTTCTTCGAACGACATTGGATACCGAAGTTGAAGATGCTTGCGAATGACATTTCACTGACCACGTTGCAGTGCTATGTTCTTGCTCAAGTCTATTATTCCATCAAGGCAGATTATCGAAGCCTCCTGCACTACAGGGGCCTTGGTGTTTCGATCTGTCTTCAATTGGGCCTTCACCACAGCCAAGAGAGATTCTCCCTGAACCCGCTGGTAAGCGAAACGCGGAAGAGGGTATTCTGGTGTCAATATACTCTTGACCGGTAAGATCTCACCACTGCAAATGTCCAGAAAACTGAGCCAGGCACGTCGTTCTAACGATTCTGAACGTGTAGATTCGGAGCTGCCTTCACAGGGCTGCCGGTGTTATTAGCTGAATCGGACATCTCAACAGAGTATCCGGCAGACGTCGACGATGAAAATGTCACGGAAACGGGTTTCGTTCCAACCATCCCAGAGGAGTCGACGAGGATGTCATCCGCTCTGGCTCTGTTCTCTGCCTCACGTATCCTCCATCGAGTGTTGGAGGACCTCTATCCTTCTCCTGCAGGATATGAGATCTCCCTCTCCACGGTCCATTCGCTGGCAGAAAATCTGGACGAGTGGTTGAAGAATCTCCCTGCCCACCTCCAGCTCACATTCCTCCTCGACAAGCCCAATGCCTCAGTTGCAAGCAGTCGATCAATATTGCTGGTAAGTTGTAATAGAGCGACCTCTCAAAGGCGCTGACTGGTTGTCACTGGAAGGGCGCGCAGAAGCTAACCAGCCTCCGGCACTAGTCAACTGTCTATTACTTCATTCGAACCCTGATCCGCCGGCCAGCGGTCTCCTTCGGCTCGTCCGACAGCTCATCACCATCCATGCTGTCCCTTGTGGACTCAGCTAAACACATTATTCAACTCCTCCGGCTGCTCGAGGACCGACGAATGAGCCTTTCGCTATGCATGAACAAACGCGAACTGATTCTGATTTCTGGTCTTGGCCTGCTCTGGCAGAACCTTCAGCTGGGCCGGGATAGCAAGTTGGTTAAGGATGCTCAGAAGAGCCTGACAGCTACCGTCTCTTTACTGGAGAATGAGTCTATTGAGGCTGCACTGGAGTTTACGTCTTTGATAAATCTAGTGTCGGATTCTGACCGACCAATGCCTGACCGAGCAGCCAGCGGCGGCGTTCAGGAATTCGTGTCGAAGCTGAAGAGATCTCGCCTGTCATTCTCCTCTGAGCCTGGCGTGTCAACGCCAATGAGGGATGACCTTCGCAAGGCAAACATGAGACCATCCTCACCCAGAATGTCACGCAGCGTTCGGTCGTCAAGCTCTCATAGCAGCAGCTCCTATGACCAGCGAGACCAGATGCAACACCACCAGGTCCATCCGGGCATGCACTCTGGCCAGTCTAATCTTGGCTATGTTCCCCTTCAGGTTAAGAAGGATAATAAGAAACAGATGCAGCCAGGATATAACCCTCAGGTGGGGATGACCGAATGGGACCATGCTCTCAATGACATTGATGGCGGACATGGCAATATATTCCCTGGAATATACAGCGGCGGCGAGTGCGGACAGGCTCCGGGTGCATTCAATACCCTCCCCTCGAACTATCCACCATCCCAACAGTCGACACCAGCACTGGGCATGCCCGTCCTACACTCATCTCCGGATAGTATGCAAGGATGGCCACAAGAATCATGGACTACGGCTCCCAGAACAGCTATTCCACGCAGCCATCCACATACCAGCCACAATGGCGCCAATCCAGCGAATGGGGGCACTCCAGCGGAATCCCCATCGGCATATAATGATGGCAGGGGCATGGACATGAGAGATCAGCACATGGCTCAGGGTCACTCGAACACCCATGAAGGGAGTAATGGCCACATCCACACCTGTGCACCACCATTGAACCCGTTTGAAGCTATGGTTATGCCTCATAACCTCGATTCAATGCAGGGAACCACCAACTTCAATGTCTCTGTCACGAGTGGCTGGGGTCAGCATTCCGTGATGTAAGGCAGTACTCCGTACTTTCCTCCAGCCATCCAGCCGGCCTCTTCTTTTTTTCGCGCGTTAGACTGGGGAAGGGAAAAAAAACAAAGAAAAAAGAAATAAAAAAAGAAAAACAATGGCGCATCCTTAAATAATAATCATACGCCCGGAGTATATATATTTATATACGTTGGGCATCACCAATTTACTAGATTATTTTCTAGTTAATGGTTTTTTGGTGCGGTTTGGGTCTTCGACAGTGTTGGGTCTTGGGGTGTTTTGTCTGAGTTAATTGTTGTGGTTTTGCTTGCTTTTGGCATTATTCGTTTCGCGTGCTTCTTTCTTCCCCTGCTATCGTCTGTAATAATAGCAAGCATAAATCTATAGTTGAGCTAGGTAGTTAACAGAGCGTAGTAACTTATTCCAGAGGCAGGCCAGGAATAACTACTGCGGAATGGCACAGAGTCCACTGCTCTGCTTTCATCCAGTTCGTCCTTTGATATATTTCCTAGTAAATTCACGGAGTTAGACACCTAAGCCCGCAATTGAGTTGTATGTAAATGACTCGCGGTAAATCGCAGGTCAGCCATTGGATACTATGTGCATTGCATATTATGCACGGGAACTCCCTAAACATGAGCTGCTGCATCGACGGCTCCTTTGAAGTTCACCCGTTCAAAGATCTGTACTCCCCGTACGGAATCGCCAACGCCAGAGACCGCTTGATGTCAGCCCATGTCAAAGAGATGAAGAGCATCATCAGCCCACATTTAGCCAATGAATCTCCAGTCTCTTTGCACCTGGGAATTCCGGTTGGTCGGAGCAAGGTGGAAAGATGGGTCAGGGATAAAGGGGCCCCCTGTTCTTCATGTGGGACTGGGGCGCTATGACGGTGCATACATGACTAGCCGGAGCATGTATGACGTCGCGGACCGCTGGCACCCTAGCTCATCGACAACTGCCCGTATAAAAGAAATATGCTCCGTTACAAGGAGAGGCCATGTTGGAGGTTGAGTGAAGAGGACAGCGCACGCAAGCAGAGGAAAGGATGAGGGCTCGGCGAAGGCTCGATATGATTGACTGCGGCTTCAGCTCCGAGTTGGACGAACAAGCTGTGCATGTCAAGTGCATACAGCTAGCATATACTAATGAGGAATATGCTATTGGCAATGCCAGATCTTCCACTCGTGGGCACGAAACTGGTTGTCCCAGCGAGTGGTCTTCTGGTGGACTGGTAGCCGCCACTCAAACATCTCGCAGCCTCCCAACAGCTCCCTTTCTCTCTGCGTATCTGTCTTTGTCTGTCTCGTCTATAATATCTCGTCTTGACTCACTCTTCGACGGCCCCTTGACCGCATTCCCTTATTTGACCATCCCGGCCGATAGTTAGGTTCATCATCGTGGTCGGTTATACAGGAGAACTTACACGCTGGACGGCCCTTTGTAAGCTGCCCGGGCCGGCCGCCCGTCGAACCTGGGCCTGAATCCCGCACAAAGCCTGCCTGCCGCCGTCATCTTCGCCATCTTGCCATTTGTATCTTTCTGTTCTCCGTTTTTTCCCCTTCGCCATCGCCGTCGCCGTCGCCGTCTCGTTGCTGGATGGATATTGTTCAAACCGCGTGGAGCAGGTTTGATAGAAGGGCAGCCAATAAAACGCACCGCACTAGTCGTATTGCCCCGTAACATACACCGCAGTCCCCAATGATCGCCCGCGTTATCCTACCATGAACCTGGTACCGCTGTAATTTATCCTGCGCGATTTAACTCCCAGGCCCCACCCCCCTTGTCCGCCTTCCGGGAACTTTCAGAGTTTTATGCGACTTCAACTTCTTTTCGACTTTTCACATTTTTCTCGCTTCCTCTTCTTCATCTTCTTGCAGTCCATCTTATATCCTCACAAGCCTGCTGCTGTCGTTGAGAGGTATTCGGATATTCAGCTTCTTCTTTGCCTTCGTTAGCCTTTGCTGATTCCAGCTTCAAAGCTCGTACCGGAGCCGCGTCTGAACACCCGCTATTTACTACCCCGCATAGAGCAGTTCGATACTCACACTCGCCATCATGGGATACTCAGAAGTTGACCAGAAGGCCATCAACACCATCCGTATCCTGGCCGTGAGTACTCCCTACTCGAGATACAACAGATTTCTGTCTGGAGACGTGGGCTCTTGGGTCGGCGTTCTGGCGCTTGATGATTGACGGGCTATGACACCCCGCATCGGCCTGATAGCGAAGACCCTGAGTGCAGAGACCATCCAAGCCCCTCCAGCCCCTCCAGAGCACCTTCACCGTCAAGAAGACGTCAAATTGATGCTAATTGACTCTTTTCCAGGTTGATGCGACCGCAGTCCCCAACTCCGGACATCCCGGAGCACCTATGGGACTTGCTCCGGCGTCTCATGTCCTGTTCAACAAGTTCATGCACTTCAACCCAAAGAACCCACACTGGCCCAACCGAGATCGCTTCGTTCTCTCGTATGTCAAGCCTCCCTTCATGCACCTTTACCGGAGAGAATGGCCGTCAATTGGTGGGAGTTGGAAGCAGGATGGCAGCTAACGTGGTGGCCATAGAAATGGACACGCCTGTGTTCTACAATATACCCTCCTCCACCTTTTCGGATATGCCCTGTCCATGGATGATATGAAAGCCTTCAGGGTTAGTTTTGGCCCTCCCTGCCCAATTTCTCGTTTTCCTCCATCTTCAGTTCGGTCACTAATTGCCACGGATAGAAACTTGGCAGTATCACTCCCGGTCACCCCGAAGCTCACGACACTCCTGGAGTTGAGGTCACCACTGGACCTCTCGGTCAGGGCATTGCCAATGCTGTTGGCCTTGCTGTTGCCCAGGCTCATTCTGCCGCCGTGTTCAACAGACCAGGATACAACCTGTTCGACAACTACACATACTGCATCTTCGGTGATGGATGTGCTATGGAGGGTGTTGCCAGCGAGGCTGCCAGTGCTGCCGGCCATCTGAAACTTGGCAACCTAATCTGCCTATACGATGACAACCATGTCTCTATTGGTATGCAATTGACTCTCTCTCTCTCTCTCTCTCTCTCTTTTTAACGATCTATTTTCACTTACTAACTTATGACCAGATGGTGATATCAAGTGTGCTTTCACTGAAGATGTATGTGCGCGCTTCGAGTCCTACGGATGGCACGTTCAGCACGTCAAGGACGGTAACCATGATCTGGAGGGCATCGAGGCCGCCATCCAAAAGGCAAAGGAAGTCACCGACAAGCCTTCCATGATCAAGGTCACTACCACCATCGGTTTCGGTTCCCTTCTTCAGGGTACTGGTGGCGTTCACGGCAACCCCCTCAAAGCTGATGACACCAAGCAGCTCAAGCAGGCCTTTGGCTTCAACCCTGAAGAGACCTTCGTCGTTCCTCGGGAAGTCTACGACCTCTACCACCGCCGCTCTGCTGAGGGTGCCGCTAAAGAGAAGGAATGGAACGACCTCTTTGCCAAATACGCACAAGAATACCCCAAGGAGCATGCCGATCTCAAGCGTCGTTTGTCCGGTGAGCTCCCAGAGGGGTGGGAGAAATGCTTGCCCGTCTATTCTCCAAGTGACCCAGCCATTGCATCCCGCAAGCTTTCTGAGGCCGTGATCGAGAAGATCTACGATGTTATCCCAGAGTTTGTCTGCGGATCCGCTGACTTGACTGGATCCAACAACACCCGCTGGAAGAAGGCCGTTGACTTCCAGCCACCATGCCTTGGTATTGGTGAATGGTCTGGCCGTTACTTCAGATATGGTGTCCGTGAGCACGGCATGGCTGCCATGATGAACGGTATGGCTGCCTACGGCACCATGCTCCCAGCTGCTGGAACTTTCCTCAACTTCGTTTCCTACGCCGCCGGAGCTGTCCGTCTGTCCGCTTTGTCCGGCGTTCGCGTTATCTACATCGCAACCCACGACTCAATTGGATTGGGAGAGGATGGCCCAACACATCAGCCCATCGAAACCCTCGCTCACTTCCGTGCCCTCCCCAACTTGATGGTGTGGCGTCCAGCTGATGGCAACGAGACCAGTGCTGCTTACTACTCCGCCCTTACCGCTAAGAGCACACCCTCCATCCTTGCCCTTACCCGCCAGAACCTCCCACAGCTCGAGGGTTCTACCATCCAGAAGGCACTCAAGGGTGGTTACGTTGCTGTTGAGGCTGAGAATGCTAACATCACCATCGTCAGTACTGGGTCTGAGGTCGGTATCTGTATCGATGCTGCCAAGTTCCTCAAAGAGAAGCACAACATCGTCGCCCGCATTGTCTCCATGCCCTGCTTCGAAGTATTCGATACTCAGGACAAGGAGTACAGACTCAGCGTTATCCCAGATGGCATCCCATCTCTTAGCGTCGAAGTCATGAGCACCCTTGGCTGGGAGAGATACTCGCACGAACAGTTCGGTCTCAACCGCTTCGGTGCATCTGGTCCATACAAGGAGGTCTATGCTGTAAGATTTCACTCATACTGGTCATTATTTCACTCGTGCCTCTGTACTAACAATTTCCTCTATAGAAATTCGAATTCACTCCAGAGGGTATCAGCAAGCGTGCCATTGCTACCATCGACTTCTACAAGGGCGTCACCGTCCGCTCCCCAATCAACCGTGCTTTCCAGCAACTCATTTAAGACAATCGCACGCAACTTTCGGGCGCCTCTCGTCTTTTCTTAAGAAGTCTCCTCCCTCACTCATATTATATTTACAACAGTTAAAGAGGGCAGGGGCCCTGTTAACTAGTTAACGAAAGAGGTTTTTTTACTACTTTTCCTCCAACAGCTAGAGTCATACCACCCTATCCCGTTTAGTTACCCCTTTTTCATGATCAGACGAGAAAAATTGAATATATAATGATTTTCCTTTCATTTTACAGAAGAGTAAGTGTGTAGAGAATCGTAGATTGGATTGTTCGCTGTGTTAATCGAAGGTAATATCTGCCTTCTTCCTAATGAATTTATTCTGCGAATCTACTAGCCCATGCAACAAGCGGGGCGTTCAATTCTAGCTATAACCAAGTACCTCTGAGGCACACCACCCCTCAATTAACTTTGGTTGGCCCTTTCACCCAATTTATTCCGATGTTAACGAAACCTTGGGAGGAAGGATAGACAAAAAGGAATATCAACCCGTTTATCAGTTAAAAACTTAACTAGAGACCCAGTTGACGCATTTACTCGAGAGCCTTTCGAGCAAAGTTGGGAAGAATGAAGCTAGCACGGTGGATTTCCTGGTTGTAGTATCTGCAGAGTTTATCCTCCTCTTCTCTGCTCCACTTGCGAAGGGGCTCGCGGACATTGCGTTCTGCATCCTTGCAGGCGACTAGGAAGCCGATCTGGCCTGATGGATAAGTTGGGATAGTGGTGTAGGCGTACTCGACGACGGGGAAAACCTCACGCATGAGCTTCTTTAGCTCGGTGATCATGGAGAGGTGGAGCCATTGGTTTTCAGCTAAAGGTAGAAAGCACACATGTTTACTTCCCTAGTGAGATACTCGGGAAGTAAAATGGTTTGTATGGTCAGCCTGGTCTGTAATTAGGGAGGAAGTTACTTTCTTTGTAGAAGAAAACAGTGAAAGAAATAGAAGTCGACAAAGGGATCGGGCGAAGTGTAACCTGAAATGCAGAATAAAGTCAGGATACCGCCTCAATCCGAAGCGCAAAGGAAGTGAATGAAAGCAGAGGGCAAACGAGACTCATAAAGGACGGAGAGGCGACGAACAACCTTGAGTACTAATGACACCTCCTTCACGGAGAGCGCCATGTAGAAGCTCGAAGTATGGCTTCTGGAACAGAACCTCGGCTGGGCCCTCGGGGTCGGAGCTATCGGTGATAATAACGTCGAATTGGTTCTTCTGTTCCTCGAGGAACTTGAAACCGTCACAGACGTGGACCTTGGCGTTGGGGTGCTGGAATCCGACGCTCATTCCGGGGAGGTATTTCTTAGACACTCGGATGACGGCCTGTGATGTTCATTTTCAGTGTCAATTGAGCCAGTCAATTGAGGGGCAGTTTCGTATGGCGGGGTAACTGACCTCGTCAATATCACATAGCACGGCTTCTTCGACAGTATCGTGCTTGACAATCTCTCGAAGGACACCGCCGTCCCCTCCACCGATAACGAGCACTTTCTTGGGGTTGGGGTGGGAGTTCATGGCGAGGTGGGTGATCATCTCCTGGTAACTGTTGCAGGTAATATCAGCACAACATCATTGTAGAACAATTGTAGACGGCACAACGCACGAAAATTCGTCTCGCTCGGTGCACTGGATAACATTATCCAGGACCAAAACAGTGCCGTGGTCACTGCTCTCGAAGACGAGGACGTCTTGGTAATCAGACTTTTCATGGTGAAGAATCTGGTTGACACGGAGGTTCATGGCCTGACCAGGCCACATGTCCGAGACTTCAGAAAACCATCCATCTATAGAGGCAACAGCGCATTTCGATTAGCAAATTAACATGGAATTGGGATAAATGAATGAGGTAGCTCTGTTTATTGTGTGATTAAGGGCCTGGATATCTGTAATGTTTCAACACATACCCTTAATGGTGGGGTGGGTGATCTCGCTCATCTTTGCGGTGGAATTGGTATACGGCGTTCTAGCAGTGCAATGAGATATAGGTTTAGGTTGAAACCTGCAAAGAGCCGGAGACAGCGAGCGGCTGGATGGTATCTTTAAAGATAGACGTGCAAGTTGCGATGTTTTGTGGTGAAGGTGAACTCCCATACAAATAATATAGAGGAATTAATCTTTTTTTTAATTCTTTTTTTTTTCCTGAACCTTGGGAAGCCCCGCCATGGCCTCTTTTATAGTCACGTGGAAGATGACAAAGAATTGGTTATATAATATACTTGTATTAGCTAAGCGAGCGTTTTCTCCTTGAGGGCAGCAAACGGTCGGTGAAACTTCACCCATCAGCACCCGCATCAACAAGGACAAGGCGAGCGGGATGGAACAGGATACACCCCTCGAAGCCCCGGGATAAGCAAGGAATAATTGGCGTTGGTCCTGTGGCCTTATACCCCATGTCGTGATAATCCCATCCCTAGCCTGGAGGTCACGGGGACCATGGTGGAAGCTGGGGGGGGGCCAAAATTGAACCTGTTCCCTGATACGTACAGGTGCTTCCCGCTTCCCGTACATATGACTGTGAGACCCTGCACTGCTTACAGGTAACTATACGGAAGCTCTTGATCATTCTATCCTGGAGATGGTAGTTCTGGCGGATAGAGAAAAACTCACATATTAGACGAAGTGCATGTATCCTGAGCATCATCATCTAGCCTTGCTTGTGCGATTTGGTGCTTTTCGTCAACTGACACAAAAAGAATTACGACGAAGCGGCGTAGCACATAAGCAGGACCCTCGCCTCTTGCTGCTGAAGGTGCAGGCAGATCTAGAATGACGGCATGTGCAGTCGTTATACGTATACGATATCTCTAACACTTCCTGGTCCGCTTGAGGTATCCGAGTCTGGGCCGTTTATTTGCTAACATTAAGCAGAATTTTCTTTCCCTTTAAATTCTCTAGGATGTTAGTTGTTACCATGTCATCGGACTCGTAACATATCCAACAACCGCAATTTGTACTGGGATATACTATTGGCTGGGGATGCATACTACAGTTTACATCTGGATACCTTAGCCTGGGGTACCATCCAAAACGCAATTACCAGAGGATGTCCCCACGACTTTCAAATCACAGTACATATCATCCCTGGTCATGACGATTATATCACTTCCTGCAAAGAAATGTTGGCGGCTACTTGCAGCTGTTCTCCAACTACATTGTTATGGATACGGCCGACAACTTGCAGTTGTGGCCAAGAAGCAACAGAATTCTGGCACATAGGATACTACTAGACCTGCAATGCAGATTTTCCTATCCTAGCCCACAATGTGGCGAATGAAATTGTGTGAAAATTAAACCTGCTTATATATTATGTCAAGCTCCCATGGGCAGTTTGACAGAGTCTTTGTGATGGACACTTGACTTGTATTATATACAGTAACTGTCTAGCAATTTCTTCCCCCTTCGATTGGTGAAAACACAAAGGCACCAGAAAAACGCAGAGGAGGATAACAAAATAGAAAAATTCAATTAAGCTTAGCTTTCGGGAAAGAGAACTCAGTCCAGGGAGTTCCAACATTAAGGTGCCAGACATATAGGAGTCAAAATTAGTTGGTAAGGAGTGTATGAAAGATAGATAATGAAACCGTGGCACAGGCAGTAAAGGAGTGGAAGAAGTGAAATTATTCCTATTGGGTATTATTGCCAGCCCCATGAAAGGAAAAAGGAATGTAAAAATTAAGTAAGCTGGGAGTCTCTCTCCTCATAATGGTACTGTAGTTCTTTGCATCAACAGTGGCCAAGTAAGTGCAATTATCGCCAGACACTGATGCCCTCACGCAACGGTAGTGTGGATTGATTTGTCGTAGTACGGCTCAGGAGTAGGAGTTGGGTATGAACTCGCCGGGAAGGTAGCCATTTCGTACTTGTTTGGTGTAGTGAATCCTTGGCTGGCGCTGGCGCTGCTTGTGCAAACTGGGGACGTGGAAGGATCGGTAAATTGCACATTATGCACATTATTTGGTAATTTCATGAGCTCCTGGACTTTCTTCCTTAAGCTTTCGACTTCGTTGGCCTGGGAATTGTATGACTGAAGAAGACTCTGGTGCTGCTCATGAAGGGCCTGTAGCTGGCTTTCAAGGCCCTTGACGTGTTTCTCCTTTCGTTCTCTAAATGCCCGTTGAGACGCACGGTTTTGCGCTCGACGTCTCTGTGCTGTATGTTAGTAAAATGGGTATATATGTAGCAAGTGTATGTGTTTCGACTAACCAAGTGCATGGAAGTTACAGGGCCCTTCTGGGTTGATCTTCGCTCCCTTTGATCTCCATTGTCTAGTGAAGTGGAGTCAATGTATTCCAGCGGGATCTTCTCCTGTGCTGGATAGAATGGGATCTGAGGGCTCCCGTACGATATCACGTAGGGAGAGGGTTCAGAAGGGCTGACACTTTGTCTCATATGCTACAACACAGTTAAAGCTGTTCTATGCGGCCACAGTAATTCGTATGAAAAGCTGGGCTTACTTACATATGTATCCGGGCTAGAGGATTCGGAGTATGACTCGGAAGGGCTCTCATATGGCTGCGGGGCGATAGGGTAGGCATAAGTGTTGATGTTAGGTAGTGATGGCAACGCTTCGTAGAATGCCATGGTCACAGTGGTGGCCTATGAATAGATGAAGGGGGGCGGTAAGGAAGTGTACAAAATGCAATAACTCAATAATATTGTTCAATCCTGATTGACCAACTATCTTGATGTAGGGCGAAGGATGAACAGTGTGCTAAGAGCCAGTGATGGAATGCGATGATGATTCTTGAATTCCTGGGAGAGCAAGTCCATCTTAAATCTAGAGAGGCCTTCAGATCAAGACAGGGTTGCAGCCTTCGAGCGATATAACCCATGTCCATCCGATACTTAGCTGCATCTGTGCAATCCTGGAAGCTTTGTCAACCACTGAAAGATCTCCCACAGGCTGGAGCAGCAGACTCGAGTCATCGTCCAATGGGCTTTCAGCGGTAGTGAAATTCTACACGTACCGCGGGCTTCAATTCGGAACAGGGATTCCAGCCACTGCAGCCAGGGGGCGTGACAGAGTAAAAAAGAGCAAAAAAAAGAAAGAGGAAAATGGGGGTTGAGGGTTCCTCTCTTAGTTCCCTAGAGAAACCCTTGATATGGCCGGGGTTAACCCGGGATACATGCTCATTCACAATATTATCATATTAATTGAAAATCACACTAGATTGTTAATGGAGCTGAGGGCGCGGTGATTTGCTTGGGCTTGGAGGTCTTAAGGCTACCCCTGTCAATAGACCGTTGAACGGCGAGTAAAACAAATCAGTAGACCAAAAGCCAAGAAGTTGCTTGAAAAGACTTGACAGTCAAGTTCTCCTTCAGGCACTGAATATTGGTGATACAACGCGGAATCTGCCTGTAGAATAGGTACTATCCAGGAATGTTAGATCAGAGTACGGTACTCACCCTATGATGAATTTTTTTTAAAAAAAAGTATATGCCGCAGTAGCAGTTACCACCCCAAGGCTGGCCGGTTCGTCAATCCGCAAAGACAGCCGCTACTTAGTTATTGGAGGAACACGACGAACCCGGAACGGGGGCTGCCCCAGGTGTATATTCTTTGCAGTGCTCTGCATGAAACAAGCGGCTATTAAAATTTATCGCATGTACATTGAAGTCCGGTATTATTGGCCGAGAGTAAGGTAGGAACCTTGACCGGAGTTGACAAGCAGCTAGATAGTGGGGAAGATTATCAACAAAGCAGCTCGGTTTTCATCATTGATAATCATATTCCTTGCAGATTTGGCGGCCAACCAGTCGGCTGGTATTATTCCCAGGATATAAACGTTGGTTTCCGTATATCTGAAGATGCATCATCAACATTTAGCCGGATCAGTGAGCCGGAGAGGGCTCGAGGGGGCCTAGTAAACAGGCTTGGGCAGAACAATGTACGCCGCAGGGATTCCTCCTCCCACTTGTTTTTTTCGACATTTCTCAAAATAACTGAGCAGAGGGACGCAGGCACAGCGCAGCCTGCACAGAGTACTTCGTAGAGCTCCCGACTAGTCCACCGTGACCAATGCACCATGACGGGGTTGCGCCAGTTCGGTCCCTGCAGGAAGAGTTGACGTTGAAAAAAGAGGAGGAAGAACTATATTTAGAATTCTGGAGGCTGTGCTTTGTCATCCTTGTCGCTAACCCTAAAAAAGCTCAGCATCCCTGTCCGCCAGCAACAACAACGACAGATCGATCGAGCACTGCCATCTTCACTACTATTTGCGTACTTTCGACGACAAGCTAACCACATAGCTATGTTGCCGACATCCCAAAAATACTCTTCGGAGGTGACTCTGCTTTTCAGGGAGACAGAGGCACCTGGAGTCTGCGCCAACTTTGCTGCATCCTGAGCCTGGCCTGCATCGGCCTGCAATCGAGTTCTGATACCTGAGGTCCTCCTTGATTATGTGTCATTTCGATCTTTTTCTTTTTGCTCTATCTTGCTTGCCAGTTCTATTTGTGGATAATACCCTAGACCTGCATATGAGGAAGCCGCTTGGTCTACGCTAAGGCGATGCCTCGTTTACGCGGTTTCGGTCTGAGGAGCTTACAGAGTCATTTCGTCAAGATACCCAACTAGCTCCCTGTCCTATTTCCGCCCTCAGCGCTTAAATATGCAGGGTGATGTGGGAAATGGGGCCAATTTGAAGGCTAGCAGCCTTAAGTCGGCATATTCAACTTGTACTCCGGAGGGGTATACACAGTATTGTTAGCCCACTCTACCCTTCCAACAACCCCCGCCAGGCTAAAAAAAAAAAAAAAAAAAAAAAGAATACAGGAAATGGACGGCCGAAGATCCAGGATTTGCGAGGATAATACTGCGATAAGCTCTGTCAGGATGGCCGGATGCGCCCCCTAACTGATAAACTGCTTCCCTAAATGGAAGGATCATTGCATTACATGTCTTCCCCATGATTGAAGTGTTTTCATCACGGGAAAGAAGAGAAGCTGTACGAAATTTCATATGAGTAAGCAGCCCAATGTCTAATTGACCGGCTCCTCGAAAGCTCGCGTACTACCCACTTGAACAGCAGATCAAACCCCTAGCTCTGCCCCTACCTGGGATTTCTTTATCCTGGGGACATAGGAGTTTATGAAACCCATTGATCAAATACCCGTTGATAATCTATATCAATGATCTTGGGGGCTGTACGCATAGAGTATGGGAATAGTGCTTGTAGGCTGGTTCCTCTCTTATCTCTGACGGACCCGACAAAAGGACACTGCACACCACATCACGATAACCCTTAAACTACCTTACCCTTTGTAGGATAAACTGCGACCCAGGTATCTCCTTGGATGGCTAGATAAACCGATTATCCTACGATGTTCTATTGTGAAATGCAGGAATCTGAGTCAACCTGTAAGGAACGCGGTGTATTTGGCCCCAAGACCTCTCATGAAGGCCCAGAAGCGTTGCCAAGCGACACACTCAAGAAATCCAGTCTCCACAACTATGCTCAGAGACTTCTTGATACCCTTTGTACCTGGTTGCCGTTTTCTCCCGGGAATGACGAGATGTTGCTTTTGAAACCGTGCGTAGCGGGTACCATTTTAACCTTGACCCTTTTTGGTCATCACCACGATGAAACGGCTAGAGTCATCTAGTGAAGCTGCGCATTGGCCACAACATATGATACGATTGGCTTTACATCCCCCATCATGCTGGCTAAGAGAGAGCTCCGTCCAATAAGCAATGTCTACACACCCAATATCTATGAGCCGGGATATGATTCAGCATGCAGCATATGCATTGCATTACATATCTCTGTGTCGTATCAAAACGAGTTTCATATATTGAACCAAAATACTCTGTGCCTGACAGCTTGCTGATGGTAAACGGCACGGCTGTGCGTGTGACCAACTACGCAAATCCCAACATTTAGGGAGCTCAGGTCTCTAGCTGACATGGTCACAGTGACCTCGGAAGGGTACCGCACTATTCTTATGACGATCTCAAAGACCACTCTGTGGCCAAAAACAGGTTTGACAACACGAAGACCTGTGACAAACACATGGAGATCGGGTCAAGTGCTTTGGAAGTTAAGGTAGATCAGACGAACCCGGTGCGATTCTCGTAGAAACTATACAAGCCCTCGATCTTCGTCTGGTCATTGATAAGGATGACTATTGATACCTAAGCCGCAAAGTTTTGACATAGATCAGCCACGCTCCATCACTTCCCGTCTCCTACTGCTAGGTATACATCGAATAATACCCGAATATGCTTTATCCAGATGGACGGCAGCACAGACTTCCTTTGTCTATGTACTTTAGCAACAGCCGTCCCTAAAATCGTCATCCAACCGGTAGAATTCCGTCACAGCTTTCAGGTTTGTCTGCGCTAGCTGATGTATTCATTAGCTAGTCTGTCCAATATTTCCCTAAACAATCTTCCTTGACGTGTTGAACCTTCCCAAATTTACCTAAGCTACGCTAACATCCATTCCATGATAAACACTAGGCGACTACTCCTACTCCGTACACCGCACTGATTCCCAGATTATTCCAGGGTAAAATTCAGAATTGTCTCCATATATTTGTACTCCTAGGCCTCTTTTCAGAAAAACAGGGAGAATGATACTTTCGAACTCGTCTGGAAAGAGCCGACACAGAAATTGCCCATCATAAAGCCACACGAGACTCAGCAGTGGACTCTCGGTATGCAAGACTAAGACGGACTCTCTATCTGATACCCAACAATCGTCAGACTGCAGCTAGATCATAAGTCGTTAAATAATCACATGATGTTCATGCGGTCCAGGCTGAACTACCGTCTTCTCCCCTTTACTTCCTTGCTGAAGGTTGAAGCGATGGGTTCCTGCGCAGATATTGCATTGAAGGTTGATTGCATTATCCTTCATCTTGATCATCCCTACTATGCCTCGATCTCAATATGGGCGCTTCTGGTGGCTCAACTACCATGTGAGAATGATTTGAGTAGCGGAAAAATCTCGCTCTAGTCCTTGCATGGTTGACGTGGTTGATGAATGTTTCGTGAAGCGGAGAGTAAACAATGCCCACCCATCATATTACGCCTCCAGCACCCACAGGTTAGCCGAGAAGCTCCTTCACTCTCCCCCAGATCCTCGCCTCCAGCGCGGGGTTTGACAGAGTTTTTGACCATCATAACCCCGGTTCAACCTTCTTGTGCCCTGCAACGAACGCCGATACAAGGTTGTGAGCCGTAATTGCGAGTAATTTTTACATAATATATGCTCCGCTGCCGAAAAATCTTCCAAGGAATGAGATGGTTATACCCGGTGGAAAGCTGCGGAAGAAAGGGAGTCAGCGCTGAAGCCTTGCCAGCACAAATATCTTTCAGGCAGATGGAATCGAATCCGTGCATTCCCTTGGGACCTTAACCCTGATCCTTTTCAGAGTCTAGACAGATCTGAAGCTAAAGACAGAATGGCGTCCCCTTTTTACCGAAACGAAGGCTTGAACATCTTCACACCCCTATCCCTTCTTTCGCCAGCTGTTTTGAAAAAAAAAAAAAAAAAAAAAAAAAATCTTACTTTGAGATGTCAAAGCACTGGTGAGTAAAAAAGGTAGCCTGAGCGAAGATTATCGTTCGTCTTGGGTACCAAGATGCCGACAAGGGGAGGATTTGGGCAGGAAGCAAGGCGTTCGATCAACACTGATTAGAAGAGCAGCCAAAGAAAGGGTGGTCGCGAATTAACGAGAATTCCTCACTCAGAGAAGAGAACGAGCACTCCTTGTCGTAATCGTATAGCCAACTATCGGTTAGCAGGATGACGTTTCAGAGCATGCATACTCGATGTGCCACAGGACGTTATCTGATCCTCTTGTGCCGAACAGAGACACCTCCTCTTTGAGTTTACTACAGCCAATCCGGGAAATTCACAAGACCCTTTGATGTCGCCAGCGCCACCACCAGACGGTGCATTGGACAGCTAATTGGTCGTCAGCAAAGGCAAAATGAAAAGAAGAAACAGTCACCAAGACCAAGACAACGGGAAGAGGCAAGACAAGAAAAAAGTCACCAAAGGTGCCCGTGCAACGGGACGAACAGAGTTGTTCGTCGATTTGGGCCGAAGGGGCTATAGTACGAAAAGGCAAAAGGTGTCTAAAAGAATACTATCGAATGGGCTGGCGGCTCCAAGCCCTCTTGGTGCCTCGCGGGCCGATATCATGCTTTCTGGGCTTTGCCAATCGCAATGCGTTGACCTCCTCCATCGGGATCGCATATCGTACACGCCTCTCTCTCCACAAAGTTAGTTGACTAGTTAGTTGGTTATCTAGCCTATTTGGCAACAACGCCGTGTGGCTTTAAAAGCAAATATACATATGCTTAGGACAATTCTGGAATATTGCCTTAAATAGCTACTCCGTAGTTAGCCAGAAGTAAAATACTCGTAAATCGAAGGACGCCTTCGACGCCTTCTGTGCATATACGTTCCATCGCCAAAATAGTTACTTCTGATGGAGAAGGTGTGAATGTCGTGTTTTCTACCAATATCATTTTAATCCCTGCTTTGGGGCGTTGAATATCAACTCTCCTTTCTCCATAATTATTAATTGAAGCTATCTAGGCGATATTCAACCCCCATCCCGGATTCACTTTGCAGCCACCGTACTCCGTATTATGAGGACTTGGTACTGCATGCTCTGCATACAACACCGATAGAGCACCTCAGCCACCTTCAGATGCTCGATTAACCGCCAGGTACACACCTTCGGGGCTTATTCTTATACTGGAAGCTTCGCCACAAAGTTTAGTTACCGGGAGTTTCGTTTCGATCGTCTTTCCACACACGTCAGGTTTGTTCAACTATGTATGGAGTACATCCAGGGGATAATTGGAAGGGCCAAGATATAATACGTACTGCGTAATTGCCGGTGGAAGTATACTTATACAGACTGTTGACATGAACCACTGGATCAACGAGGTCTTGCCTTTTATCGATCCTTTGAGTCAGTGTACTCGTATATTTCGTGATAGAATTGAAACACCCAGCGGGAAATCTTCATGGCAGTACTCCGTAGCTTCAAGAGAACTTCTAGTGCGCGGTATAAATCAAGCCAAACCCACAAACAGACCCTTGGTCAAAATCTACAAAGGTTGGGATAATACAAAGGTCTAGCAACATTGATACAATACAGTAATGGGACCCATTGATCCATCTACCTCAAAGATATTCTCTCAAGAGTGACGCTCTTCATATTGTGAGAACCAGGGATAGTAAGGATCTGGCTCTTGTGCCTTGCCTTATTATTTGGTTCTGGGAGTTAACACTTGCCAGCCATATAAGCTGAGGGCCTAGGGGGGCAAGCATGTCCCATGAGATGCGAGCCGTATAGTGGAATAGGCGCCATAAGCGGGTTCGGCGATTAACGATGTATATTGCTCATTCAAAATCTGATTGATTCTAACCAGGTAGTACGGAGTATTCCTTTTCCTTATTGCACTGCAGGGACGAAAGAGCTAGAGAAAGAAAAAAAAAGGACTATCCGTTAAGCATAGAATGGGTTATCTTGGGTGATTATAACCTCAGGCCGCCTTAAAACCTTGCTAAGCAGGCCAGATATCTAGTAGTACACCGTTTGTCTTAGCACAACTGCTAAGACCCCGATTTACGAGGTACTTTGTATGCATTGAACCAGAATTTGCAAATGGAAGTCCTGTTGGATGGCTTTCTTGCCCCCTCTGGCCGGGCACTGGGGGGTAGTGAAGAGGCGTAGTCACATGCGGGTATTTGTTGTTATATGGAAGAAACGAGCAGATATCATCCCCTGTCCTGTTCATGTATTGGCGGGCTATCGTCCCGCAACCGTAACCTTCAGCTATGTTTATGGAGGGGGGAGGAGTTGGATGGAGAGCAAGAGATCTTCTCCCAGCTGGCCTCCCGAGCCCCCATTTTAGATGAGTTCGGTGGAGAGACAGGTTGGAAAAAAAAAAAAAACGAAGCAAAAAGTATGAAAGGGATAAATTGATCTGCACGGGGATTGCCACCTGCGCAAGAAAACAAAAATAAAAGTAAAATAAAAAGCCCATTTTGAGATATATTATATGCTTTTTCGTTTCTTTTTCTTTTCTTCCCTTTCATTACTTTGCTTTTTCCCACTTCGTTATCTGTTTATTTCTCTGACGTTGTTTCTTTGGGGGGGGAGGCAGAGTAGTTAGTAGAGTTGGCAGGTTCCTAAGGAGGTGACCTCTCAAGTTGGGCCTGCAGCCAAACAAACCAAGAAGATAGACGCGGCTCCGTTCCGTGGAAACGTGAACTTGATGTATAGAAATGGAGTATACCTCACCGAGGTCCTGGATGCTGGATACAAGCCATGTACCCAACTTGGGGGAGGGGGGGGGGTATCGTCCGGCCCATCAGACTTTTTGTGTTCGTATGCAAGGGAAGCATACCAAGGATACACAGCATAAACCTCGAACCCATCAGCTTCCATGTGAAGCAGAACACGCGGAAAGATGCACAATGGAAGTCAAGAATAGCCTTGGAATGTCTTGTATCTGTCAAGCAAAAAGCCATTTTCCTGAGAAAGCGATGGCGAAAAAGCATGCTTAAAAGGAGAAATGGCTCTTTACGGTGATAAATTCCGCGGTTGTCTGTGAGGTGCGTCGTTAGTGATCGAAGATCTCTCTGGAGATATGCAGACATCTAAAGCATAAGAAAAAAATAATAATAAGGATACGAAAAGGGTCCTTGATTCCGTCACACGACAGACGCCGACGGGTTGTGTTGTGTTGTGAGCTGGGGAAGAAGGCAGAAGAAGAAAGATGGGCAAGGAAGGGGATAGGGGAAAAAGGAAGAACGGGTGAGTGACGAAGGACATGGATGTATTAGTTTCTTCGTTTTCGTTTCTCGATCATAATCGATACAATGGCACGATATGATATATTAACCATGATGATGATGATGATGATGATGACGATGACGATGCGCAGGAGGTATAGTTTGATGTATGTCAACCGTCCATCGGACTGGCTAAGCTCTGAGCCTCCCTTCCTGCCAGCCAGAAGGCAAAACTCCACTCTCGACCCTCGTCTCTCACCAAGAGTGAGTAGTACTTAGTAGTGGTGAGAAAAGAGAAGGAGAACGACATCTCCAGCCCTCCCTCCCTGGCCCAGCTCCACCGAACCTTGAGACTTGCAGGACATAGTTGCTCCATCCAAACAAGCAGCGCGTCCTCCATAAGCCATGGACCAGCCAGCCCAAGCCCAGCGAGCCGGCCGCACCATCCGTGCTCCTCCGCCTCTCTCTCTCTCTCGAGGCAATATGTAATATACTTACACTTGCCCTAGCTGGTCTGTTGCAAAAGGGCAAGCGATGTGATGAGACAGGCTTCGGAGATGATGGAGGTTGAGGTTCAGGGGAATTCCCTTCCCCCTCCTGCTCTCAGGGGTCATGGACCTGGACAACGTTCAAGCTCCGGCTTTCAAAGATGCTTATCATGTCAACTCAACTCTCCTTCGCCAGAGACACGATCGAAGGACGGGCGAAAAGGGAGAAGAAGAAAAGAGAAAAAAAGCAACAAGGAAGAAAAAGGTTGCAGAAAACCGTCGCTAATTTTAATCAATAATAATTGGCTTTTCTTAATTCGACGGGAGGGCTAGCCTTTGCGCTAGCAGGTAGTTAGTTAGGAGTAACACTGGCTTGAGGTAGCAGATCTCTGTCCCTCTCTCGAGAGAGAAAAACCGAGGATACCGAGGATATATTCTCTTGCACCAGACAGCAGGACGAGGGAGGGAAGAAGGTAATAATAAGAACTAATGGATGGGCCAGTCGGGTGGACGTGATTCGACTACTAGGCTACTAGTATTTCAACGCCACCGGAAATAAGGATCAAGAGCGAGAGAGCGAGAGCGAGAGAGAGAGGAAGAGAAGAAGAACGGCCGAACCGACCGCGGACCAGCGTATCTGCCCGTTCTTTCGTAGTACGAGTAGTGTAGAAGAGAGTGGGCGATGAAACAGATGCATCGTTTCACTTCTCCTTCTGAGCAAGCTCGCCAGGGGGGGGGGGGGTCCCAGCACCTGCAGCAGCCAGCAGAAACTGCCCGTAAGGAACCCGAGAGAGACAGCGAGACAGCGAGAGAGAGAGAGGGACCCAAGTTGCAACGCTTGCAACGGCACCAGAACAGCCTGGCCGGACAGGGACAGCCAAAGAGGAGACAGAGGATGAGCCGGGGGCTGCATCCGGACGGGGCCCTTGGTCATCGTATCGAAAGGGCTCTCTGTTTTGCTCTGCATCCGGACCCTCGTCCTTAATGTCTGCTCAACTATAGCCTTATTATATCGAAGCTCTCTCTCTCTCTGTCTCTCTTGGTCTGGGAAAACGACGAGATGGCGCTATCGAAGACGAGCGGGCCGCGTGCCAAACCACGCCATCGTTCCCTTTAATCTGCTAGCCGTTGCCATCCTGCCCTGCTCCCGTCACTCTCCCTCTCTCTCCCTCCCTCTCCCTCCCTCTCCCTCTCTCTCTCCCTGCGCTGGGTGCCGGAGGAAGGGGGAGAAACGAAGGGGGGGTCCCCCATGCAGGGCGTGGGGAGGCCGGCCACGTTTTTTGCTGGGCAGAGCCGGGGCTGCGATAATACGATAGAGAGGATCATAATACATGTCGTCGCTGCTAGTGCTCCTCCACTGTTGCTGGCTGGCTGGTGGTGATGTCAAGATGTCAAGATGAGAGAGGTAGAGAGATAGAGGGAGAGAGAGAGAGATAGCTGGTGGCGTCTGCTCTGTAGTGAAGTAGAAGTAACTCGCAAGTACTGACTGAATACCTGTTGATACATAACTACCTGTTGATGCCTGCACAGCTTCAACTCCCTCTGTACGGAGTAGAGCTGAGATCTAGCTGATACATCGACCTCCTTCGACGCCCTGGGGAGCCTCCGAGGCGCACTCTCGCAACGTCTCCTGCTCCATCTTGCTGCCATCCATCCATACTCCATACTCCATACTAACAACATAAACATCCATAAGTAAGTATAATATCATCAACTGCAACCATCCCAGGCCAAACAAACCTTGAACGGGCCCAAACCCTCAAGAGTCGACTCTCCATCAGCGCGCTCTTTGCTTTTCCCTCTCTCCCTCCCTCTCTCTCTCTCTCTCTCTCTTTTTTTTGCTTCTTCTGCTTCTTCAGGCTCTTTTCTTTTTCCGCTGCTTCTCTTACTCTTCTTATTCTTATTCTTCTGCTGCTGCTGCTGCAAATCCCTGGGGCTTGTCCGGCCGGCCCCATCCCCCATCCATCATCGCATCGCATTTCGCAGACCCTTGGGAACGCTACTTTGACGGCTCCAGCAACGCCCGAACCATCCTTTCCACCTTGCTCGAGGATATAATTTTATTTTATTTATTCATAATACTTATAAAGTGCACAGGACTGCCCTCGCCCGGAGCCCTCCGCCTGTATCCTGCATCTGCATCTGCTTCTTCTTCTTCCTTCTTCTTCTTCTTCTTCTCCGCTCTCGAAAAAAAGACGAGGCTGTCCCGTCCGATAGTTAGTTCGCTGCTGCGCTTGTCTCGTATACAGCCTTCCCGCCCGCCGAACGAACGGCTGCCACCTCGAAACCACCGGAGGAGATTATTAAAAAAAAGAGGACAGGACGAAGACGAGAGAGAACCAGAGGAACAGAAAGAGAGTGCGAGAGAGAGACAGACCTGGTTCATGGTGTATTCCTGTCCCGGCGTCCGCATCCTGGTTGTGTGTTCTGTGCTACGAGCCGGAGAGTCCCAGCATCTCGCGGGCTGCCCCCCCGAAGTTGGGCTGCAACTGGATTCCAGCATAAAACTGCATTTTTTTCTATTTTTGCACCGATAATACGATACGACGTTTTTTTTTTTCCTGGTAGGCGCTGGCGTTTTGAGAGCGAAAGAGAGACCCGGAGGCACAAGAGGAGAGCGAGGGCCTCGAGGAGCTTGCGCATCGTTGCTAACTGCTGTTGTCTTTTCGTCTTAGAGGCCGGCACCATGGGCTGCATGAACTCGAAGGACATCAGCCCGGAGATGAAGGAGCAGGGGAAGCACAGCGCCGCCATAGACAAGGTCATCCGGGCAGACAAGAAGAAGTACGACAGGACGGTCAAGATACTGCTGCTCGGTGCGTATACAGCTCTTGCTTCTACCTACCCATCTATCTACTACCTGGCGCAGCTAGCTAACCAGTAATAATTATCCACCCGCAGGCGCTGGAGAGTCCGGCAAGTCGACCATCATCAAGCAGATGCGCATCATTCACTCCGGCGGATTCCCTATAGACGAGCGCCGGCAGACTCGGGCGGTCATCTACTCCAACATGATTGTCGCCTTCAAGCTGCTCATCGAGATCATGGAAGCGGAGAACATAAGCTTCGAGCATGAAGCTACGGAGGTATGCATGAATGACGATATAACTAGCTCGTGTCGTCCGGTTCCCTTTGTTTTGGTTCTTTGTTCGACTACTTCATATACATACATATATATATCCTACCTATGCCGAGCTAGCTCTTGAACTAACCGTTAATTCCATTCACCAATCTAGCCCCTCGCCCACTTCATCCAGACCAGCGAAGCAGACGTCGAGTGCGATGAAGCCTTCACCGATATCAAAGTGCGGGAGGCCGTCAAGACAATGTGGGAGGATGCCGGCGTCCAGAAGGCAGTCGCCCGAGGCCACGAGTTCGCCCTCCACGATAACCTCCACTAGTAAGTTTGGGCAGGAATCTCTCTCTCTCTCTCTCTCTCTAACAATAGCCGTTCTATCTGCCTTTTTCTTTTTGAAACTAGCTATTCTGACGGATTGCGGCAGCTACTTCAACTCGCTGGACCGGATATTCACGCCTGGCTGGCTGCCAAACAACCAAGACATGCTGCATTCCCGGCTACGGACTACCGGAATCACCGAGACCCTCTTCGAGCTCGGCCAGATTAACTTCCGCATGATGGATGTTGGCGGCCAGCGGTCGGAGCGGAAGAAATGGATCCATTGCTTCGAAGGCGTACAGTGTCTGCTGTTTATGGTAGCCCTATCCGGCTACGACCAGTGTCTAGTGGAGGACCAGACTGCTGTAAGTCCCGGCCGGACCATTCTTTCGAAGACAAAACAAGCTACGGTGACAATGGCTAACCAGTTTAACTATAACCCCCACAGAACCAAATGCATGAAGCTATGATGCTCTTCGAATCTCTTGTCAACGGCGAATGGTTCAAACGCAAGCCCGTCATCCTCTTCCTCAACAAGATCGATCTCTTCAAGGAGAAACTCGCCATATCGCCTGTCTCCAAACACTTCCCGGACTACAGCGGGCGAGACGGTGACTTCGAGGCCTCTGCAAAGTACTTCGCCGACAGGTTCAGAGGCATCACTCGTGTCCCCGAACGAGAGATATACACCCACTACACTAACGCAACTGATACCACCCTCCTAAAGGCCACCATGGACTCGGTGCAGGACATGATCATACAGAAGAACTTGAACAACCTGATCTTATGAGGGTTAAACTGACGACAATCAAACATGCCTGATATACTTGGCCTGCCTGCTCGGAACCTTCCATCGTTACCTCCTCCTTCCAGGCCTCGACAATATCGACGTACGACTCTTAACCGCCAGCCACACTCACCCCAACTTGCGAACTCCCATCAGCCAACCAATCTACAAAACAACTACCCCCAAAAGCAACAACTCTTGATTCGGTTTCGGTGACTACTTTTTATTCTCAGTCCGGCTTATACCCTCCTCCCCCCACCACAACTAGTGTTTCCTTTCCCAAAAAATAAGAATATTCCGCAAGTTTCACCCCTTCCCAGGCGACCCTCAACTATGACCCCCCAGAAGGCCCGATATGATACCAGATATGTTAATTGTCGTCAGCTCTTCCCCCGGCTGCTGTGACGAGGCTGGAATTCCTCGGAAGAGATCTCTACCCTCTCTCTCTCAAATACACTCGTCACTATATCCCAAAATACCAAAAAAGAAAAAAAAAAAGAAAGAAAGAAAAAAGAAAGAAAAGGGAACACTATTTCCTTTTATACCTCTCTGCTTTGTCTTGTTTTATCTTCCCCGTTTTATGTATGATGGTTGGTCTGTTTATGTTGCTTCTCTCGTTTTTGTTTTTTTTACTCTTGCCTACTCCACGGATCTTACCGATGCTTCAAACGTGCTACAGGACCACACGAGCGCTCTCTTTCTTTTGACTTTTGACCGGTTGGAAAATCTCTTTTTGATCTGTGTTGCTATATATCCCCTTCTCGTCCACATTGCCCAGTTCCATCTCATTCTCCTTATGTGTTTGTTTTACTCTTTTTGCTCCCCTCCTTTCATCTCTACATGCCCAGGTCAGTCATCCTCTAGCCCCCGACCTGAATTTCCTACTCCTTGCCCCGTTTCCTTTTTCTACTACCGCACCTTTTTACGAGACATCTGATATAGACAAAAGTCTACCCGTCGCCAACTCAACCAGCCAACCTGGCAGCCGTTATATACGATAGTTCTTGGAGACAAACCGATCTATTTCATATCACACTCCCATCTGCGTCTTTGCTTCTTCGTCGTTTTTTGTCTATATATGCCCTGCTACATACGTCCTCTTTCATCTCCTACTGTTTCTGGCAGAGCAGCCACTCAGTTGAAAATAGCTATTATAGTAATGAACAGTTACCAGTCACCTGCTCGTCCATCTTACCCCCTATTCTAACTGTCTACTGTCTTATCATCTGCTCTCATCATCTGTACTTAGTCCAGCTTCAAACCCCCCAAAGGCGCTTATTAAAAAAAAACGCCCCACGTGACCATGACTAAGCATCGCGGCTTGTGACCGAACTTTCCATGAAAGAACTTCAAGTTGATCTTTTTCGCTGCGAGCCGAAGGCAGAGCAAAGCAAAGCAAAGCAAAAGGCACAGCTCAACGACCCCCCGAACCTCGCACTGGTGTCTTCTAGCCCTCGGATTCGGGTTCTAGTACTGCACGAGCCTGGCTCTTTTCACTCCCTCCCGCCTCTTCTGCCTGCGCTGGCTCTCCGGCTGGTGTTGAACGGCATCATGATCACCTCCTCTGTGCGCCGGGCGGCGTTGCCATCAACGGCCTCTCTACCGTCTCGAGCAGTGCTCCTGGCCGTTTCCTCGAGCAGTCCTGCTCCTGGCCCTACCAGTGGGAACCCTCCGTACCGCCATCAGCGTCGATACTCGTCCTCCAAACCCCCTGTGCCTCCCAGTGACGGGTCCAGAGGCATCGATCCGCCCACCCAGACGCCGGCAAAGAGTGTCAGCAGCGGGCCATCGAGCAAAAAGGACGTAGAGAATAGAGAAGGCCGGTCGTCCAAGAAGCGTGCGGGAAAGGATGGCGAGACGGCAAAGTCGAAGCAGGCCAGCTCGTTGAAGTTGCCGAGTGTACCCTCTACCCAGCACCTGCATCCTCACGGTACGGAAGCTCACACTCAGCCTTAAACAGCACCATATGTGTGTGCGTGTGTGTAGCTTGCTCTGTAACTGACCATGATATTGTTTTAGATGTCCACGTAGCTTCGTTCTTCTCTATCCACCGACCCATGTCAATAACGACTTCCGTACCTCCAAATAATAACGACAGCAAAACCTTCTCGGCCATCTTCTCTCCCAAGAAGCAGGCTGCCGCAAGGCAAAAGGACGTGATATACACCCTTTCCTCCGCCGTTAACGCAATCGAGCAGAACCTCCCCGGTCAAAATCAGGCATCTGCCGAGGATATTGATTTCAGGAACGCCATCTCACAAGCTTCCTCCATCCACGCGGAGTCAGATGTCACCCATCTCGATGGCGTGCCCACCCAGGAACTACGAGCGTCCATCCAAGAGTTTGCTAAGCGCCTACGACCATTCAACCCACCTCCAGCCCCTACACCAATGGACGGGCCTCTCGAAAGCATCGCAGGAACGGAATCTGGTGCAGACAAGGCCAGCTCCACACAGTCTGCCTCTGAAGCCGAGCCCAGCGAACAGACCTTTTCCACCGTTCTGACTATTCGTGAAAGCCGCAATGCACATGGCCGCAAGTCGTACGAGGCATATGCTTCTCCCTTCGTCCGCATAGATGATATGGAGGCCCCCTCCGCCCAGGGTGAGTCATCCATCTACCAGGACCAAGAGACTAGTGACCGTTCCGTCTCGGAACCAAAGCAAAGCTTCCTCCAGCGAATGGTTATTAGGCAACTACAGTGGGAACGGTCCCAGGGCCAACGTCAGCGTGAGCGGATGTATACTATCAGCGTCAAGAGACAACGGAAGCTAAAGATGAAGAAGCACAAGCACAAGAAGCTGCTGAAAAAGACACGGACCCTCAGAAGGAAACTGGATAAAAACTAGAAACTCTCTTGTTTCCGGTTTTTGTTCTTTTGTCCTCGTTATATTTGTTTACCTCCACAGGGTATCATTGCATATAATCGGTCTTCGGCCCCGTCTCTTTTGTTGCTTCTTTACACCTTGTTTTTTTCTCTCTAGTTGACTTCCTATCTACCTATGCATATTATGTGTGTATCCTTTTTATATCCGGCGTTCCTATCTCATTTTGATTCGAATGTCTTAGATAGTTCTTATCCATCCCATCATCTCCCATCTTAGATCATGCCGTTCTTTCGCTCTTCTAGGTAGCTTCTGTTTTTCAGCCTTTTCGACCATTTTTCTACATACATACGCTTCAGGGAATGAAGAGCACATACAGAGGATCACTCTTTCTAAATCATATCGGTATCAAAACACCAACAGAGGCAGGAAGATGGAACTGCAGGTATGGTAGGAATCCCCGCTTTATAACCGCTATCTGTTATGATACAATTATCCGCACTACTGGTAAAGAGACGAAACGACAACTCTTAAACATAACGAAATAACGTGAATACATGCGAAAAAAAGTATAAGGAAAAGGGGATTAGGATAGTAGATAACTAAGATGATGTTGACATTGAAACGGGATAGCTTGGTTTTCGGCTGCGTTTGTATCCAAATAGAGGTTCGATATCGGCTGGGACAGTGGGTCACGGAGCGATAGTCGATGATGGCGTTAACTTATATACCTTGTCGTAACTCCCTCCATCTTCTACCACACTGACTGATGCCCTGTATTCGTCAAAGGGAGTTACGACTTAAAGATGCTCGTCGATGATATTTTCTGACTGCTCCCATTTAGCAGGTAGCTTCGAGACTGGCACGGGAGTTCATCAATAGAGCAACGATAAGGCCGTAAAGACCTAGTTAAAGTGTTAACCATCAACTGCTTTTAGGAACAAGAGGAAAAAAGGTATTAAAGGAAGATACTCACCCAAAACTTCAGCGAAAATGAGAATAAGAATCATACCGACGAAAAGTCGGGGCTGTTGGGCAGTTCCACGGACACCAGCATCACCAACGATACCAATGGCAAAGCTACAGTACATGAAAATACCCGGTTAGCATATTAACACGAAATCTCAACGCATCATACCAAAGAGGTGAAGAACATACCCAGCAGCAAGACCGGCAAGACCGACAGCAAGACCAGCACCAAGCTGGACGAATCCAGTGTATAGTGGCAGGTTTTGCTTCAAGTCATTGGCAATCAAGACAGACACGACCAATCCGTAAATACCAATAATACCAGCCATGACAATGGGGACAATATCTACATCGTCGTCAGTAAAGCTTATACACCAATACACCCGAGCATACGCGCCGGACGAAGGACAAAACCGTACTCTTAACAATCATATCAGGTCTGAGAACGAGAGTGGAGCAAATGCCAACACCAGCCTTAGCGGTGCCATAGGCAGCGCCGAAGCAGGTGAAAATGATGGCGGAAGAGCATCCTAGCGCACCGAAGAAGGGCTATATGATATTAACGGTATGTCAGCGTTTGATTGATGAAGTCTGATGGCGTCGTTTCGCATTCATGTGTATGAGCTGGATGCAAGCTCTCAGAATCGACGTTCGCCTGCGATTCCGCGGACGACAACAACGGGTAATGGAATTCAACTAACCGCATATACGGGGCTATAAACACGTATCAAATGACATGATTAGCAAGATATCAACTATATTTAGACCGCTTTTCGGGGAATAGCAAGAGGAAAGGCGCTGGTCCTAAGACGCTCGTAACGAGCCAGGCAACTCACCAAAGATCGGTAGACATGTTGACGGCGGTGTGAAAGAGAGCTTCCGTAGAGGAGGTGTTGGAGCTAGGAGAGAGGATAGGGACTGATAAAGCAACGATTCTCGAGACGGGCGAGGTGAGTCGAGGATTAATGCGAGATGGCGAGTTGTTTTCCTGCTTGACCCTTACAAGATGTTGTTAAGCTGAGGTTTGACTTTTGGGTCGTTGCTGGGAGATGCCAAGCGTCACGTGTGTATTATGCTGAGTCAGCTCTTACAGGAGCTCGATTGTCGATATAAAAAAGACGGTAGAACGGAATTTGAATGTTGATGTAGATGATTATGATATTTAGATCCTCTATTGTACATGTCTATAGTGTTACATTCTAAAGAAAGGCTCTTCAGATGGTATTTCAACTACCAGCCTGGCACCAGGGGTGTCAATTTTGGTGCCTGAGGCTTGGACCCGATCTCCCGTCAAATCACCCGCTGTCCTAGCATAGACCATAGATTTCTCCGAGGAAGCTCCGAACTTATTAGCCTCGACAATAATGTCATCTAGCTTCTTAGATCCATCCTGAAGCATCTCGCTGGGCAACGAGGTAGGAGCGTCAGTAGGAGCAGGTAGGACGGAGAAGTCCAAAACAGTAGTGTCTTTTGCAGTGTCTTTATGCATGACCGAAGACTTCGATTGCATAGCTGCCTTGGCTAGCTTATTATCCAAAGAAGCAACAAAGAATTGCACGATGTCGCCGGTCGTCACAACCTCACGTAATGGACTCATCATCAATCCGTCAACGTCTGTGAATTTAGGTGTGTTCTCCAGCACGTTGAACAGAATTGCATCGTCGCTATGCTTCTCAGAAACATCCTCGTCGAATATTTCGTGTATAGAGACAAGATTGGATATCGGCTCCTCGTCGTCGTAAGAGTACTCGGGATCAAGAGAGAGCAGGCCTTTCTTCTTGCCCCATCCACCTCCACCGCTCATCACACGGTAAAGTCGTGAACCCCTTTTCAGGGAAGCCGATATATCAATGCTGCTGCCAGATGGAGATCCAATATGGGTTCGCGCTATGCTCTTGGGCGTCACCATAGCCCACACAGCTAGCCTCTGACTCTCGAGTTTGTGGTCTTGAATATACTGTGGTATAGCCTTTTCTAGCTCCGCAGATGCTGGGACATCGTTCTTTAAACTTGATTCATTGGAAACAGTCTTGAGTATATTACCCATACATTCTGCCACTATCCTGGGCTCGGTGACAGGATGCAACGGTGCGTCAAGAGACTTGAGCGTTGACTTCGTTCGTAGTTCAACCCTACATGTCCGAATGTCACGTCTATCCGTAATCCGAGGAACATCTTCAATAGACTCAGTAGACTTCCATCTCGACGCATGCATTGTATACGGTCTGCCAGTAGTGAAAAGCGTGTTGGCCATGGGCATTCCAACTTCAAGCTCCGTACTTGTCGACGGGTCGCGGATAGAAATCGAGAGCTTCGGCTCAATATGAGAAGGGGAGATATTCTCGATGCCTCTTTGAGGCACTAATTTTCCCGATATAGCACCCCAGTTGACAATCGCCAGCGACAGTCCTTCCATACCATTATGTTTAATGTTGGTAGGGACAGGTAGTTTATCCACCACCGCTTCCACTGAGCATATTTCGAGGTTCTCGGCCGCAGCAGCTTCTCGGAAGCAGTGATGTAGTAACTTCGGGATGAATGTATGGTCTTTTTCTAGCCATTGGGCAAATGCTGGTGTAACGAGGAGGAGAGGAACATGGCTGTCGGGATGGAGTTGGGAGCTGAATGAGGGGAGTTTTGATAGAATACTATCCGGGGTCTGCTGATCATTAGACACAAAGAAAACGAAGGGTACACAGGTAGTACATACCACTGCAGATGGGTTTGGAGCTAGCAACGTAGCAGAGCCCAGTATATTCCATTGGATATTGCCTATGCGCAGGGTCTGTCGTGTGGTAGCTGGAGCTGCCGTCTGAGAGAACCGGGCTATGTGTCGACCTTGCCGTGGGAATTCACTAATCGGCCGCCATGTTGTTGGCCCCCAACAGCATCGCAGGAAGGCTGACATGAACACGATGCCTCGAGGGAGGTAAAGGCCGACATATAAACGGGAGAAATAGAGCCTTTCCATCTACATAATTAACAGTTGAGTTTTGTCACGAAATCTTTTGGAGATAAAAAGCCTTGGCGAAAAAGCTTGGCATTTTCATTGACGTTCAGACAAGTACCAAACAAGCTTGGACGAAAATGCAAGATGCAACCCCATGCTCGTCCTTCACCCACTACCCACAATAAATCCCGAGGAGTTGGGTCAGATATATGCCCCTTTCTTTCTACCTTTAGCTAACTATTAAAATCCAACAGTACCGAATCTCACTCGTCCCGTGTGATCATCACTCGTACGCGCTTCGTTCCGTTCTTTGGGCACGGGACAAATCGATCATAATATACCTCTACATCCTCCTTTGTGCACTGAAACAACCTCATTCTACCCCCAAGGCGCCTGATCAGCAGTCCAATACCCATGTAGAGTTCTGCATGTGCTAGGCTGTTTGTTAGTAGCGAACGTGTTAGCAAGCGAAGCTAAGAACAAAGAGTTTGTGTGAATATTTTCGCTGAACATACTTGATTCCAAGGCATTGTCGACTGCCCTTGGAGAAATTTAACAAGAACTCATCTAGCCTCCTATGGCGTTTGCCATGCTCGTCGAGCCATCTCTCCGGCTTAAAAGTGTAAGGGTCTGGAAAGATGTCCGGATTGAGATGTACCAAGACCGCAGTCATTCCGACCGGCGTCCCCTTTGGAATATCATACTCCACCCACTCAGTGGTTTTGGCAGAATTGGTGTACCGACTTCCATGTTTCGGTGCCTTGAAATGCATGGGGCCAACAGGATTGATGCGCTGCAATCTTGTGCTTAAGCCGTACGATAGACGGAAGCCTTCAGATATTACTGCATTTAGATATGGAATGTTTTCGAGCTCAGTCCAACTCACGCGTTGGTTAGGATCGGGGATGGCAACACTTAACTCCTGCCGTAGCCTGGACAGGATTTCCGGGTTGTCAAGGATATAGAAAAGAGTAGCTGTTAATGCCCATGCGGTGGTCTCTGTCCCGGCGCCAACAACAAGTTGGCCTTCTTGCCAAATCCGATTGAGCTGCTTCTCTTCCTCGGGCAAAGGGCCGGTGAGTAGTTCATAAAAGATTGTCCGGGACGCAGATTCTGGCTTTTCCCCCCGAGCAATTTTAGCCTTCTCATTAGCAAGCTCTACGCGCATGTCCTGCTGGAACTTGGCGTACTCTGCTGCTTGTGAGCTGATGTATCGTAGCAGACACTGTGGCAAGGCATTTATGGTGGGTAAGATCCATGGGAACTGTTTCTGCCATACTGCGATGAGACTCCCTGCAGAGATGGCATCGTGGATATTTGGCTCAAAGGTAGGAGAGTCAAGGAAATTGTAGCTTTTGGCGAAGGCGTACTCGGTCACGACATCGGTCGTCATGCAGCTAAAGGCCGTGGTCAGGGGAACTGGTCCTATAGCCTCTGCATGACTCTCAAGCTGGCTTGCTAGTTTCTCAACCTTTTGCTGGATGATAGGCTCTAATTTAGTGACGGCAGCCTTCGAGAAGAAGTGACTCAGAGCATTGCGGCGTAGACGATGCAGGTCATGGCCGGGGGTACCCCCTACGCTATCACGAAGCCCAAACTGGGCGCTGTAAAAGGGGTATTTGTCTCGCCGTTTACCTGGACCGGAATATAGCTCACTGATAAAACCCGGGTCGTTTACGTGCAGTTCATCCGGGCTGATTCGAACAATGGGTCCGTACTTTTCGTGCATGCGCTGGATCTCAAAGGTATAACGTCCCTTCCGGATGCCATCGTGGAAGAACTCGTACCAGACAGAGAGAGCAGCGATCTTGGGCCCTGGGTATCCTGCCAGAGGATGTAGGAACAGCCGGTAGACGGCAAGGGAGGTCAAGTATAGCAGGAAGACTGTACCCAATGCCGTAACCGGATACTCCGTAGCTAGCTTCAGCGTGTTTGCTAAGACAGAAGTCGTCATGTTGACTGGCTATGTGTGTCTCTGGTGCAAATGGGGTAGGTCAAAACTGAGCCGTGCGCAAGGCAGCTTGTCTGGCTATTTATCACCTTTTCCATGCCTTAGTTAGGTGTTGGGAGTTTTTTTCCCTCTCTTTCTAAGCCATGGGAGAGATATACCTTCACCGTCATAGCTTGATCTTTCAGTCCAGATTCGAGGGAATTAAATCATGGTCTTCCCCCAATCAGTCGCTTCCTGGTAAATCCAGCGCCATGTGTAACTAGTCCGGGGCCAATGATTCGCTGTCACTTGCATGTACAGCTGCTGGGATTTCTTTGTTCCATCCTTGCTGCTCTCAGGCCTCGCGACCACTATATTCCATCGTCATCCTGGTAATCCCTCTCTCTCTGGAGGAGGGAGGTTCCTCCAAAGAAGTCCGACAGCTTGGGACAGCCGATTTTTGAGAAAAGGGTGCCAGGTATCTGCCTGCGCCGATGTCCCCCCCCCCCCATCGAGAAAACACGCATGCTGATTGCATTACGCATGGACCGGGTTGACGGATACGCTGGGTCTCAGCTCTATAGGTTATCGGTGTATCCAGTGATTCCGTATGGTTGATGACTCGACAAGCTGGGTATCCGGTGCTGACTTGCGAGTTGAGTCCGGTCTCCCTCGAACAACCCAGTAGTCGCATAGTTTAGTTAACCAATAGTTAAGTTAACTCCTGACATAGTGTCAAGAAAGACCATCTCTTCTGATAGCCTAGAGCACGCGCGATAATAGCGTGTTTAGAAGAAGAAGCAAGGACAGGACCGTTATCCAACTGTATCATCCATCTGGCCAGGCAAAGGAATAAAGAGCAATCGTGTTTATTCCAACCTTATAACGGTCGACAATGAATGGAGGCTTCCAACCATCCTTTGGCCCGCCCGGCGCCTAGATCACGTGAGTGGAAGTCGGAACATCAGACTCCGCTTAAACGGTTAAGGTAGCCGCGGCCGGCAGTCCCGGAAGCTGGGCAAGTGAGAGTTTGCAAGTAAGGAAAGAGCGAGTTGAACCTGTTCCAGTAGTTTGTTACCTAAGTGTTATTGTTATTGTTATTATTATTACATCAGCAATACCAGAGAGATGGCGCCTGACAGCCTGACAGCCAGGCCAGGCACAAGCTCAGCGCGCAGCCCTTTTTAACGACCCAGAGGTCGGACATCCGGCTCGCAGCCTTAAAAGCAGGACAGGGCTGGAGAATCAGACGTCAGAGGCCCAGAGGCCCGCCGTCATGTGGCAGCCATAGAGTGGCTTCGGCGCCGTTGGCTTAGCGAGGAGGCCCGTTACTTTACTATGAATACACTCTATTGTTACTGCGCATCAACCCGCTCCCCATGCTCGACGAATGGCCTGACACCCACCTTGTTTTGGTTGCTTGGAACTGACAAGAAGCGACGCTGCGAGCTGAAGCTGAAAGATGACGTAACCAGGCGAGGGGTGGATCATTACGCAAGAGCCCTCGCGACCTAGAGATACCTCCTGTTACACGCAAATTCTGCAGTAGCCGAAAGTACCTCGAGGTCACGCCTTATCTTGCAGAGCAAAGTCGACCAAGCCCGCTTCGGCTTAGCGTCTTGCTGCGCGGCTGCTGGTTGGCCAGTCCTGCTGACTCATCAAAGCTTCCTGTGTTTTTGCTCTTGCTTTCTCGCAGGGCCCGAAAGCCGCTGCCTGGCTTTTTCCCTGGTTGAGCCCAGCGCGCGCGCGAGAGAGAGACAGACTAGCTTTTTTGTTCACTAACTGAACTAGCTTAAATACCTGCTTGTCCGACGCTTCCCTTTCCTCCTCCCCCTTCTCCCTCCCCCCCCAAAAGCATTCTCTCGACGCTCTCTCGTTTTACTGCCATCCATTCGCCTGCTCTCTGGCATCCAGTACAGCCGCTATCAGCATCAAGTTCTGCGTCTCTTGCTCCCTAGATACTCTCGCTCGTCCAAGATGGCCTTTACCGCTTCGTAAGTCGCTGTTTTCCCTCTGTTTTGCTTTTTCAAGCTTGAGACGACGACTGACCTCAACCCGTCTTCTGCCTCAACAGCGACATCTGCAAGATCATCCTTGCCATCATCCTCCCGCCAATCGGTGTCTTCCTCGAGAGAGGCTGCGGTGCTGATCTCTTGATCAATATCTGTTTGACCATCCTCGGATACATCCCTGGTATCATCCATGCTCTGTCAGTATCCCTCCGTCCGAGTCAAGGAAGCATCAACAACAACATAAAACCAAGCATAAAACTAACACGAACATAATAGATACATCATTCTCAAGTATTAGAGTCTGTCGTCTGAGATCGGGCTCTGAGTGAAACTCGTCGCGGCCTCATCTTCACGGTGGATCCAGATGACCAGTTCGATTGATGCATGCATGTCTTGACAAACTTGGATACGACGGACAGGCAGCTCCATCTACCGTCAAAACATGACACGAAGGATGCCCGCGAACAAAAGAGAGCCTCTCTCGGTCCAACTCTTTCGGCAACTTGGTGTTAGACTACGGTCTTATTATTAATTAAATGCTTGATAACCCCCCCCCTCAACCCTCTCATTAATGACGTTTAATAATACCACATCACAACAACAACAAAAAAAAAAGAACGAAAAAAGACAAGAAAGGAAAAAAAAAAGTTACGAGAGAGACTGGACCCCAGAATCTCTCTCCCCCTTCCGGATGCTAGTGATGGATTTGATTTGATTTTTTTTTCCCCCTTCACTCTTGGTCTTTTGTTATACCCTCTCTATGGTTTTTGCCCCAACCCCCCCATGATACCACGCCTCATGCTGTACATTGCTGTTCACTCGGTTTTGTTCATGTCTCTTGGAAGGGATCAATCTGGTTGTCTTGAAATCGGTTTTTCACCTTTCATTCTCTCTTATTCTGCTTACTTGGCCCGTCCATCGTCTTCCACACTCTGTTTAGGCGTGTCTGCTTTCCCCTTTGTGAACCCTATTCGGAATCAAGTATCATAGAAAAGAAAGAAAAGAAAATCAAGGAGATCCCTTTTCTAAACCTTTTTCCCTTTTTTTTATTATTCATCTCCCTCTTCATCTACATGCCGCTTGCCGACTTTTCTCACAACTTGAGACCTGGGAGCTGTCTCCTCTTCCTATCTCAAACGGCGGTGCCCACATGTATATGTCGGAGGATGTATGATGTTCGTGTCTTGTCCATCCCTGGCGCCAAACCTCGGGAGGTCCCCCAATCAGGAGTAGTAATAGACTTTTCCAACGGCCATACTCTACTCAGGTCATATTTCGTAAATACGGGTAACAACTCTTCTTCTGCTGTCGACGGGAGCAAGATAGGCAACGTGACTACGCTCGAGTGAGTGAGATGCGGTATATAATAACAATAACACCCCTCCCGTTATACTTATTCATCTACATATACGAGAGATATTGAGATCGACGACGGGGATGACATGCATCTCATCTCATCTCATCTAACTTCATCTCTGGTTCAGGCACATTACATACATACATACTCAAAGTTCCTTGCAGTTGTTCCCTTTGCTCTCTCGTACCTGACCTACCTCCGAACCATGGGTCCAGTCCAAGAGGCATGGCATGGGGCTCTTCCGTTCCACCGAAACTGTCAAAGCAAAAAAAAAAGAGTTGTCATTGACATGGCATGGCAAGAGGCGGGTAATTCCCAAATAAAATATCTCCAATTTAAAGAGTAAAAAAAAAAAACGAGTCCACTAAACGATGGAGAATCCTCGTTAAAAAAGCAACTAAATGATCAGCCGGGAAGGATATGCAAGGCCGTCCACTTGGTTCGTCGTTAGCTGGCCAACTCTCCTTTTCTCCGGGAGCACCGTGGTGAATCGAGTCGACCAGACGATGTTATCTTTCTTATCCCCCGCAGTGACACTGACGCTTCGACAACAGCTTGCTCGGCGTTAGGGAAAGATTAAGAGTATCCGTAGCTAACTGCGAGCTACCTAACTGCGGTTCCGGTCGAACCGATGGCTGGGAAGCTGATATTCTCTTGGAAAACTACGGAGTATACGGAGTATCCTAGTTACGGAGCAAGTACTTAGTTACTTTTACCACTTTCACGCTCCGTATATCAAAGTCTCCCTCCAGGCCCGTGCGACAACCACAGGCTAAGCGAGAAGAAGATGAAGCCGAAGCCGAAGATAGAGGAAAGACGAGAGAGAAAAAACTCGGTCCAGGCTAAACTAGCTGGGCTGTTAGTGAGTCTGCTGCGAGGAACAGAGATCGTGTCCCGTCCGTGATATCAGGCAGGCAGCCAGCCAGAGTCAATCAATCGATCATTTAGCGACAGAGCGAACCGCCAAGCGGGAAAGGAAAAGAAAAAAAAAGACAGATAAAAAAAGAAAGGAAAAAAGCAAAGACGAAGCGTCAGAGAGGCATCGCGGCGGCAGTCGATGGCCTTTTCCTGATGGACTGGGAGGGAAGACGAAACACTCTGCCCTCCGCCCTGCATGTATCATTGCTCAGTCCACGACACAATTTAACACGACCCCAGGACACGGCGTCACGAAGGGGCCAGTTCTGTTTTTAGCACCCCGGCCCCGAGCCAGCAATCGAGACAAGGCCACCTCATCTCATCTTTTCTTCTGCCTGCCTGCCTGCCTGTCTGTCTCCTCTGGTTCGCTTCTGCTCGCATCCGCGCCTTATTCGACTAAGCCCCGGGCCCAGTGTTCATCCACTCTTGCAAGCCGCCCACCCTCAACCGTCCTGACTCCTCCTGCACGACATTGCGGGCACCCAAGGCTCAGGCTCGTGTGATAACGATAACTAACGCACTACACCCTCTCCCGCTACTACTACTGGGCTTTTTTCCCTCCTGGCCTCCCTCCCTGCGCTGCCTGTCCAGCGTCTTTGCCTGGGGGCTCGTCTCAATATAAAGCAAACCGTCGCGCGACCACGTGACTCTAGCGACCTCCTTAATAACACGAAATGGAGACGTTTCAGCGCTTAGCTAGCAGAGCGAGACAACCAACGACCAACGACAGCGAAGAGGAAAAAGGTACGCCGACGGAGCAAGCAAAGAGCACGTCGGAGCTTCGTTCTGCTTTCATCCAATCCACGGTCTCCGCTGGCCTCTTAGAGTGGTTTCACCACTGCACCACTTAGCACCGGAGCTTACTTTCTGGCCATGCAGAATATGGGTAGTCCTCCCTCCCTCCCTCTCTCTCTCTCACACACACACTCTCTTTCTCTCGCTCTCTCGCTCTCTCTACACGGTACCGTGGAATGTGAAAAGCAGAGCCTGCCCTGGCCTGCTGAACCTTTTCAGGTGATGTGCGGGCAGAGATGGTCTTTCCACTGATCCGTACGGATCATGCAAGGTGGGATAGTTTGTTAGTACTCAACTATCCGGCTTGCTTGCGTTCTTTTGCTGGCTCTGCTGTTGCCCACCTGCCGCCTGGACACCCACTTGAGTTAGTTAACCGCCCCGGGCTGGTTGACTTTATCAGCCCCTTGCAGCTGCACCTACGGGGCATCCCTGCTTGGTTGGCAGTGTGGGACACACGCATACTCTCTCTCTTCCTTCTTGACGGAGGTTGACCCTCTCTGTCGTATTTTCTTTTTCTGCCTTTTTTTCTCTCTCGTTCCTTTTGCCTTTCCGGGGGTGGTTCATGTATCATGGCCGTTTCCGATGAGTGCAAGTTAATTAGTATGAAAACCACTCCCATGGCCTTCATATGATGGCCGTCTTGGCCTCATTTCTCCCTCCTGCAAAAGCTCTTCTCTTCTCTTCTCTCTTCCGGGTCTTACTCTTACTTCTTCCTTCTCATTCTCTCTCTACATCTCTCTTTCTTTTCCATATACATACTAATATTCTATTTCTCTTTCCTTTATTCATACCACCTACCTTCTCCACGGGGACCATACTTTCTTTACTCCCTTTTTTTCCCCCTTCTTAATCGTTTCATAATTCAACTGGGATTCTGGACGCGTGGAGAGTAATAATACATATGGTATATACGGAGTACCTCGCAGCACTGATTAACGTGTGAGTAATCGCATCAGTGCTGGGTCCGGTGCAGCAAAAAGCCAACCCATATAATTTTTTCTCATCAGCCCCTTGGGTTAATCAACAACTTACCAACTACAACCCCCAAAATACGCCGGGCTGATAGGACGTTTACGCGGGCCGTGGATGACTATGCAGCGGAATCTCTGGAGTTTGCATCTGCGGTCACATTAAGATGCCAGCCTATCCCGCTGTGCCGGTAGCAAACAGTTTGTTGACTTTCCTATCCGCCGCCTCTGCCGCCGCAGCCACAATTACTAGCATCATCACTACGACTAGGAGCTCGTCATTATCTTCATCGTCACCTTCAGCCTTCTCTAACCTGCGCCAGGACCTGGAACTGGACCTTGGCCGGAAGTATAAGCAAGTGCAGGCACGTAATCAAACACCAAAGTTACTCAGCAAAAATGTTCCAGCGTGTGCTCTGCCCTGTCTTGAGGCCTTCATATCATCAGAGAAACCTTGGGAAGGGTGTCCAGAACCTCTCGATGTCAACTGTCTTTGCAAATCCAGGTCAACGACGGGATACACTGTTGCGGAAGCCGCCTTGCGTTGTGTTGCTGAAAACTGCCCAAACTCCGAAGTAGAGCAGCACGCAGTCTACGCTATATGCTCCGGAGTTGAAGGTGCCCTGCCAAATACCCATACTGTGATAGGGATATCCTCAACTGCCGCCCCTAAACCAAGTTCAATGACTTCTCAACCTCCGACCATGACCTCCGCGGCACCCAAGGAGCCTGCCCCAGCTCCTCCAAATCCCACTCCTCCAACTCCAGCACCAGCACCACCTCCGCCAGTGTCAGATACAACCATGTCCATGATGGCAACATCGACACAAATGTCTCTACCGCAAATCACAACTTTACCCATGACTTCAGTGACCCGAAGTGGTATACCAGGTGTAGGTATTCCGACGGACACAATCGACTTCACCTTCGTCTACTCGTCAGAAACAGGGTCGGCATCAGCTACTGGCGAGCCGGGCGCTGGAGGCCACTCGAATCAGCTAGTCGGCCTCTACGTCGGTGGCGGAATTGCCATGGCATCTCTCATTACACTTGTACTATTCTTTATCTTCCTCAGCAGGCGCAGACGGAGAGCCAAACAAGGGCAGGAGAGCGAAAAGGGTCAGCAAGGGCGGTATCATAATATCGATCGTGCTATGAGTGATTCGAGAACTACGCCTGCCTTGAGCCTATCGAAATCTTCTTCTAACAATAGGAGTATATCGTCTCGACCCCGGACATTGCTACCTATCGATATGATGCCATGCTCAGTTGCATATCTTCATCGGTCCACTAGAGACTTGGAAAATGAGTACGCAAGCTCTAGAGGGCATAGCGCGGCCTCCCAACGAACACAGTCAGACTTATTACCGGACAACCCTCACGACGGCAGTTCAGCTGGGTCCCGCGGTACAGAGAGAGAACGTGTTCACAGCCCGTTTGGAGACGCCTGTAGCAACCGGGGACCTTCACCCAAGAGCATATCGCAGTCCGTGGTTGACCCCCTCCGCAGTGCGTCCTCGCTCAACTACAGCCCGGCATTAGTGCAAGCCAACCAGAGATCCACTCAGAGCCCACACAACTTCAATAGTGGATTTGGATATGCTACCAACAGTCCTAGCCGAAATCAGAGTCTATCCCCTGATTCTAGGTTCCTAGCTGTGCCGTCGAAAGTTCACGCCGCTCAGGGACGAAGCCCGGCAAACTCAAGGGACCAATTCCAACCGTCTATGACCAGCCACTTGGCTCCCTCATACACACCTGAACCGTTTTCATCCAGGAGCATACACTCATACACTAGCCATATACCACGCCAGCTCAGTCCCGTGCGAGAAGTGCCCAGCACTGGGCCCCCCAGTTCAGCGGGCACACCCGATATCCCTCAACCCGCATACCACCGCTCAGGGCACCTATCCGCTTACGCTGGGAGTGACGACGCTAGCGAAATGTCCGTCCAAACCTACTCCAAGCTTGTTCCTCCACCCCTATCAACCCACAACACAGTCTCAGGCAACTACCTCACAGAAGCACTGCCTGACCACTCCCCGACACTCCCTAAGGCCATGCTCGCCGGCTCCGTGTCCTCGTGTTGTTCTACACCGCGAAGCAGCATAGAACACAACCCAAACAACCTCCGTCATCAAACGTCAACGGCATCAAGCAAGAAGCCAAGCAGCCTTCTCGTCAAACGCCGAGGGGAGAAGGTAGCGGATAAAATGGGCAATGAAATCACGCTTCCTGCGAAAGTACAACGGCCAATCGAGATTGAACATGATCAAATTCATGAAGATGACGACAACAATTCTATCCGCTCGTCCTCGTCGCTGTCTCGCTCGAGTAGCAACGCACTCTCTCGTTCGAATACTCTTCCCTGTCGCATGCACGATAATACCGCTGCATCCACCGCGTCCTCTTCAAAGGGGTACAATAAGATAACACCATCAAAGCGCGGCGGGGACATGTACCTCAGCATCGAATAATATCCCTCCCTTTCTACCGACATGGTTACTCAAGTTTAGCTCCTTTTTAGCCCTTCTGACTTTTACCTCTTCTTTCTAACTATCACTACTTCTCCTTTTCTTACTTGGTTACGCATGGGTGGCGCTCTTTGATTTTTCATTTTTTTTGATTCTACACTTCTTCTCATTATTCTCAGCTTTGTCTCTTCGTTTGTAGAACTATACCACGTTCTCCTTCTTCCATTGCTCCTTTTTACTTTGACCTTTTTTTTTCTTTCGGCTCTTCTCTTCTCTTTTTTGGCTTAGCCTGATTCGGTTACCCTTTTCAGTTTCTGCTGTACTAGAACCCAGCTGTTGCCTGCCCTTTTTTTTTACTTCTTTCCTTTTGCTTGCTTCGAGTTTTACATGTTTATCTAATGACACGGCACTAACTGACGGCAGAGCCTTGCTACATACCCGCCTATCCCAGGCATGAAGACGTCTGTTTCCCTTGTTTTTGCTTCGTTTATCCGTTGCCTGGCCTGGCCCCTGCCATCAGGCTACTCCCGCTCCGCCTTGAGCGATCTGCACATTTCTTTTTTGCCCCCCCATTTATTTTACTACTACTTACCACTGTGGATTGGATAATCATGCTACATACAAACCATAACATGTACATAGGAGCGAACATTCAGCCAAAAAGAAAAAGAATGCTACAAGGATAACCAAATCTAAAAAATTCACGTTGCGTAAGACTCTTTTCTATATAAGTCATCATACGATGGATCCGTTTGGTGGTGGCGTTGTTTTTGACAGCTAACTGACAAGTTAGTTTTGATGCCTGTGATCGACTCAGCCGCCTTTGCCGTTGCCAAGAAGAGACTATTTTTAGTCCCTCAATGTTCCTGCCTCCTGGAAAGAAAGGCTATTTTATCATTTTTCCATCGCACCGTTTGCTTGGACGCTCTTGGACAGAGAGAGGCCTTTGGGCTGCGCTGCTGCTCATACCACTTCTCCGTCCGCCCTGGGCGCGTTTGTTAGAGCCGGGTAGTGAGCGGCCTGAGGACGGACTACCCTGAGAGAGGCAAAAAAACGAACTGGAACTGACTGCATATGTAGCTAACTAAGGCGCGGGGACGATGTCTCTTGCTGACAACAAGCTTCATTGTGTAGAGTAAACTAACTAGTTGCTGTCCTTGGTGGGGGCGGTCTTTTTGCTGATGGCCTGCGGAGCCCCTGGCAACAACTCACGCCCTTCTGGGATAGAGGGTAAAATCAACGAGAACCAACTGTTATTTATATCATATTCATATCACATATAAGAGGTGAAAGGCTATGAACTGAACCGAAACAGTCTTGAGTGCGGTGAAGAGAGAATCCCCGGGAAGACATTAACAATAGAGCGAGGTAAGAGAGGGGGGAGTCATTAAACTAAAACATGCTGCGAAAAGGGGAGAAAGACACTACAGCTGAGACTTCTTTCCAGCCTTCTCGATCTCCTCCAGGATGGTAGCCTTGAGCGACTCTGGCTTTGTGGTACTCGCCCATCGGCCGACGACCTTCCCGTCCGCATCGACCAGGAACTTCTCAAAGTTCCACTTGACCCTTTTCAGGCCCATGAGACCAGGCATCTCCTTCTTCAGCCAGTTGAACACCGGCGCAGTGTTATCGCCGTTGACGTCTATCTTGCCGAGCACGGGGAATGTGACGCCGTAGTTGACCTGGCAGAAGGACTGGATCTCATCGTTGCTCCCGGGGTCCTGGCCGCCGAACTGGTTGCACGGGAAGCCTAGGATGGTGAATTTATCTGGGTGGGAGGCCGTGATTGACTTGTAGAGCTCTTCAAGGCCGGCGAATTGTGGTGTAAAGCCGCATTTTGACGCAGTGTTGACAACAAGGACTACTTTGCCTTTCAGCGAGGCGAGGGGGAACGGCTCTCCTTTCTCTGCAAGTCATACATGCATGGTTAGTAAGTTAAAGGGCGCATAACTAGCGGGGAGGATGATGCAAAAGAAAGAATAAGGGCATTTTGGTGTTGGTGTTGGCGTTTGGCGTTGTTGTTAGGCTGCTGGTGCTTACTATCAACTGGCTCGAAGTTGTAAAAGGACGTAGCTGACGACATCTTTGCGGAGAAGACCAGAGTATTATGCGGCGGGCATAATAACAGCGTCCTTGTCGTTGCGCTTCGAAGGTGGCTATGAGGCGCTGGCCCTGGCTGCAGCGACGGGACGCCGGCTTTATATGGCAGCTTAGTGCTCGACGGACGAAAACGGAAGAAGTGGCAGGCAAGCGCTGGCCGGCGCAGCGTCATCGTCATCGCGACTAAACTCGTTTTTCTGTCTTCCTTCTTTCAGCGCTTCGCGTTGCTTGGCTGGAAGGGAAGTTCGAGCAACTGCCGAGGCATTATTACCTGATGCGGATGGCGCTGGCGCCGCTTTCAGAGGGGCTTATGTAATGCAGATTGGCCAGGCTTTTTCTTAGCGACGACGACGAAGACGGTTGCGGCGGGAGTTCTTTGAGATACAAAGTCGTATTGAATTCACTTGGATTCTCACTAGAGCTCGACGACTGGAAGGCTGATATCAAAGGAAAGTAACTACATAGCTAAGTTACAGGTCCTAGTCACCACTTCTCACGTAGACAAAACACATCTCAGACCAAAGAGTTAGCTGGCTGCCTGGTTAAAAAGACAGGAGCGACGAGTCAAGAGACCATTCAGGCGTCCTCAGACTTGATTTCCCGCTTAACTTCCTGCTTGACCCCCGTCTTCGCTTTCTTGGAGCGGCCGTTCTTCGTTGGGGTCGCGGAGTCAGGGACAGAGTCAGACTGGGCATCATCAACTTCGGCCCGCTCACGCTTTGAAGACGCAGGAGACTTCGTCGGGGTTTTGGCATCCTTCTTTCCACCCTTAGATGGGGTAGATGGGTTGGAGCCAGAAGCCTTGTCTCCGAGAGTCTTGGTTTTGATGAACCAAATTTGGTTTTGGATGGACTTGACATTGTATTCTGGCACTTTGCTTTAGTCACCCCGTTTCAATGGAATAGGCAGAGGGAGACGCGACTTACCAGGGCCCATGTAATCAGCAATGCCCTTATAATCGATCTTTCCCGTGCTTGTTTTTAAGATGGCGATTAATAACTGCGAGTTCGCCGTTAACAAGCACGTATATAACGCTGTGTTCATCCTTGAAGGGTCATACCTTAGCCCTTGCGGCATCATTCCACGTTGCAGGCATGTTTGCTAGATCTTTTTTCGACGTCCTAACAGATGAGAGAAAGTGGGAATTCGATAATGGTAGTGCAAATGGATATCGAGTCAAATGTCAAGGGTAACCAAGGGAGGGAAAGGAGGGGAGGAAGAGAAGGAAAAGAATATAAATAAACAAAAAAAATTTTTGCCCTTAATGATCGCATCGTGTTACGCGGACAACGACGCATATCTAAAGGACATATTAGATGTTGAAGCATAAAAGAAATAGAAGCATAGCAATAAGGATACAGAGCATTCAACTTAACAGATAAAGTGATCCACATCACAGGCTGTCCTATGATAGTGAAAAAGGTCCTATTACATAGATAGGTTTAACATAGATATAGCCAGGGGAAATCTGGCTATATGTTCTCTTTAAATTAATGGTATCTCAGCCTCCGAATGGTATCTCGGCATCTGAATTGAACTCTAGCTCTACACGGGTAGAAGGCTAGAACTAAAGTCATTTATTAATGGAGGGTAGTCTTGCTTTGCTCTTCTCTAGAGAAAATACCCGTGCAATTGCAACTATTTGCAAAGGCTATCTGCTTCCTTGGAATAGTATCCATTAGCTGGGTATAGCTAATGTTTCCACCAATCTTCTCATTATAGTGCTCGGCGGTCGTCTAATCCAGGACATAAGATTTTTCTGGCAGCCGCAGCCTAAAAAGCATATACTCCTCATCATCTCGGAGAGCTTACGCACACCCCAGCCCATAAGCAGGTAGATGGTAGATAGATAGGACCGTAACATTTGGTAGTTATAGTATCAGCCCTAGGAACATACCAATATGTTAGTGCGTTCTAATCACAATGCAAATGGAATGAGGAGCACATACAGCTTCTATACGAAGCTTTATTTTGTGACTTGATAAATGTATTATCAACAAAACCCTCCTGCTATGATGAAACGTCAGAAGAGCTGCCAACACAAGGCTTTTTGACCCATGTAGAATAGCAAGGTCCCGCCCGCTAGGTGGGACGGACGAGACATAGAAACAACCCTATATAGGGAAGCAAACTGTATAGATTCTGCTTAGCTGTAGGTGGCAGGAAGCCGCCATCTCGGCTGTTGATGAATTCTGACGAAACAGTAAGTGCTTTCTCTGATGTCAAGAAGGAACAGGACCTAGTCTAGGCGCAAAGAGCGAGTCATGTGACAACTTTTTTTCTTCAACTATTTCAGCTGAACTCCAACAACACCTCCAAGTTCTAAACGAAGTGAAAACGCCGTCTACAACCCTTTATCATCATTCCGCACGATAAACCATTCGAATCATATACAAATGTCCTCAAAATAGCTGTCATTTCTCTCCTTTCCCCACAGAACCTCTATAAATACCGCGCGGATAAGTGATATGAACCAGGTTTTCATGACCCTAACCAGGGGCGATGGGAGTGGGATTCTTAGAACAAAATATCGGCAGCCAAACTCCTAACATGACATGGGTGAAATAATGCAATGCATGAAAATGCGGATGAGAAGGCGTCCAACGCCTCCGGCATAATCAGCAGAAAAGGAGTGAGCCGAAAAGGAAAAGGGGTCGTCAATATCGTCTCAGAAAATAGAAATTGCAATAAAAAGAACCAAGGCAATGAACAAATGAAAAGAAGCTAATATCACAGGAGGCCATTATTTCAAGGTCCTCGAGCCCCTCCTCGATTGTTGGGAGCTAGGTATCTTGATGACTCTCCTACTCAGCCTCTAGCTTTTTGGGTTCGGTCTCCTCAAGAGCTTTTTCGAACTCCCTCTTCATACCAAAGTTAACAGCGTCGAGCACGTTGGGAACGATTTTCTTTGGTGCATAGCGTGGAGTTGTTCCCTTCTCAAAGACTCCTGTTTCAACCAGGATCGAGTACCAGAGAGTCTCGCTCACGTCGGACTCGTTGTACTCATTTGTACCACGGATATCCGATTCAGGGGTGTCCCCAACGAAGTACACTGTCTGTGGTGGAGAGTTGATGCCATGGGTCTCCTTTCGCCATTGCTGCAGAAGTCTTGTGGCAAACTGGAATGTGCCAAGTTGAGGCTTGCCGAACGCAATGGTCTTCAACTCCTTCCTGGTGACGGCCTTAAAGAGAGCTTCGACAGACGCTCGGAGAGCTCCCATACCGATACGGGTATGCTCGTGAGATGTTGACCAGACAATATCATTGTGGGAGAAGTATACTGGTGGGCCCTCCTCGAAGGTCTCTGAGCGTGTGCCTATCTTGCCGCCCTTGGACATGCACAAGTCAAGGATGATCTGCTGATCACCAGCCCAATCCCTGCTGTCTGCGAACACAAAAATTGCTTCGATGACCAGATTGTCAAAGTCGCGAACACGGGAGTTCTTGTATTCTTCCTCGGTCAATTTTCGGAATGGAGTGGTATCCTTGTTCGTCTTGATGATGTCCCCAGGCGTCACGACATCACGGAAACCATAACCCTCTGCTACAATGCGGCACTTTTCGCCTTCACCGCCAACAACGAGAACAGTTTCATACTTTTCTGCCATCTCTCGCATGGGAGTGTGTCCGCAGATGAACTGGCCAGGTGAAACGTCATATTCGAGCTGCCTGCTGAGATCAAGGCATCGCTCCTCCTCGGTCTTGCCTCCACCATTTGTGACAAAGATGTATGGCCTAATGTCGGTGAGTTGTTAGCAAGAGGAAGAGTCTTCTGTATCTAGGGAAATGAGCATACATACACTTTGACTCCATACTTGTTTTCTCCGTTCAGCACTTTCAAGGCTTCCACGGCTGCGGGAATTGGCTTTCCACCACGGATAAGGACGCCATCAATATCGAAGGCGAAGGCATACCTGTCAGTTGCTATGACTGGTACTCCGCTAACTGGGGATACGGCTCTGGGTGTGACTTCGGCAGATGAGTTCTCCTCTTCTAGATGGTATTTGGCGACGCCGATGGATTTTGCGGTTTCATAGGCAGCCGTGCTGGCCATCAAGTGTTTCGGTGGAACAACCACATTTGGTCCATTGACCAGATCCTCCCTGGTTGAGGACACATTGGATAGACGGCGGACTCTTGGTGTCCCAGAGTGATATGATTCCGTGGTTGCCATGGTTGTAGTTTGTTGGGAGTTATCGACGAGGAAAGAATAAATTTACTTTCCGCGCACTCACTTGGAATATAGATAAAGATACTGGTGGTAAGAATAACAAAGGATGTAATATCAAGAACAAATTTGCCTGCAAACGACGATTAGAGCAGAGATGCCCCTTAGGATGGTGGGAGTAGCGGGTTGTTTCTTTCTCGAAATCGAAGGGAGTTCCTTTTACGCCTCAAGCGCAGTATCTTGGCTGTGAAAGAAAGTAATGATGGTGGGCAGGGAAGAAAGCCATATTGGAAGGAGCGGACGAGCTAATTATATATTACCGTTCATTTCTCGCCAGACAGGCTAAGAGTAACAAATAATATAGGAGACATTCTACCAGCAAAACGGCAAAGAAATGATGCAACGCCGTCAACCCGGCCTCTTGACTAAGAACCTAGAAAGCCATGGGCCCACCCAGCTCAGACGCTGAACAAATGACGGGCTAACAGTTCGAAAAGTTACCAAATCTTTTCCCTTGCCATAATTCACCAGAAATAGGAACCATGGAACTCTTACTCACTAACAGATTTTCCGCTTATTTTTCCCTTTCAGCCTGATTGCTTTGGCGATCCACATCCTTCTTCCAGTTGCCGCAGGAAATTGATATCATCATGCATCGGGTGTTGAGATTGGGAAAACCCGCCTCCGATCTCCCCTTCTCTCGGCCCACACCGGGGTGACACACTGGCAACCTTAAACAGATGTAGGCTTTTTATTTCATTTTTTATATCCTCCAGGGAAGAGCCAGGAAACACAGAGTAACGGTAAAGATGAGGATCCACATGGCTGGCGGTTGGGGCACGTCGGACGTGACAGCGTCTTCGCAAGACATCCCTCCAGCCGACTGGCCAATGAGTAAGGGCGTTCCTGGGGCAATCTCCACCGGGTAGACCTTTTTGGCTTGGAGGACAAGGGGAGTGACGGGAGTAGACCGAGATAGGTCTGTTTCGATGTCAGGGTTTTATTGTTGCTACTATTTGGCCGTCAAATCTGCAACGATGGGCTGCTACTGCACAGACACGGGAGGCAACGAGTTAGTCTGTCACAAAATCAAAGCTCGTACTCTCTACATGTATATTGCCGCAATTTGCCCAGCTTCCTAAACCTCGTGAAGTCTCGAATAATGTCCATCAACACGTGTAAGAAGAGTAAACAATGGGAAGTCCTCTCCAAATTCTCAGGATATCTGGGGTCTGCCTCCACGAGTCTATAATATGTGCAAGTGGACCCGCGGCCATAATGACGTCTCCTCGCATATTATTTCCTATGCTGTTGTCACATCAGAGGATAGGAAAGTACTCCGTGAATAGTAGTTTGTGCTATATTGATATTCCCAAGGTCAATCGAGAATAACTTGACTCTGGTAAAGCCACTCCGGTCTCCCGCTTATCTTCTGGTACATATTCACCGCCTGGTGGTACTTGTCAATGTATTGTCTCATCGTCGTATGAGTAGAAGTAATCTCGATGGACCTTGATCCACAACATAGTGGAGATGTTGATACATATATAGTTACAGTTGGACACTGTATGCACGAAGGCGCTGCGCCTTCAAGGATCGCCTAACAGTGAAGACGAGGGCGATTCCCGATATTGAAATTAATATGGTGGTGGTGACCCAAGAACAGTTGAGATTTCTCAAGGGGATTTAGGGGATGTATATAGGAACTATGGCCGAGTAGAGGTTATGAACTAGAAGTTCTCCTGGAGAGGAAAGCCATATTTTGATATTAGCCGCCCTGTAAGCAATAACTAACTAGTTATTCTCGCTCTTTGAAATCCCTCGAATAACGGAAGACTGATTGGACACGCCCCTGTATTGCAACAACGCCGATTTTCCCTGCACTCCGTATTCTTAAATTATTTGCCATCCTCGCTTGCCGCTCCGCTGAGTAGGTATACCCGACCTGTCTTCGCTACCACCCGAGCGCGGAAAAAGTATTCGACGTGGATGTTACACGGTGGATGGATGCGTTTTGAACTATGCGGCTCCCCTATGACGTCAATGAACTTACAGCCCGCCAAGGACGGCAAATACACGGCCTGAGTGGTTGGACCACGAGCTTAAGTGGACCGGGGGGCCAGGAATGTCTGACTAATGCGGGCTTGGCCCTCTTAGTTTCTCACGACGCCGCTTCCTCGGAGGCGTCTGGGGGCCTGGCAGTCAGGGGTAGCCCAGCCACTGTGCGAGTACGCTGGGTATGATGGCGCTGGTCTGCAGGCGTAAGAGCTGCGTTCCACAGAGTAAATGCTCATTTGAGATCGCCTGTACGGAGCACTCTATCCATATATCTATACATCTATCTCTAATGTTTATTATTGTACAAGGTTCTCCGCAACAATGTAACGACTGTAACAGCAATTATTAAATCAGCAAAATGCAAAACACTGTGTAGTGAGGTCAAGGATATGGAGTGGGCCGAGGACACTGTTGGTTGGCCATCGTTATAATGTTCCGACTGATCTATGTGTTGCATATACGGGAAAGCAGCACAGAAACTTCCCACCTGTAAGTGTCGGGTGTAAATCTGACCGCTTTCCTAATCATGTTGGAAATCCGTGCACAACTGCAAGGGTCTATGGGGGAAGGTGTACAGATTATTTCGTGTTAGGTCCGGGATGCAGTGGCTGGTAATTGTGGTGGTCAGGGAGTTGCAGAGAACCCTTGTACAGGACCTGAGTCTCCATTTTATTTCTCCCGTTTTGGGGCCGGTACGGTACTCTACGGGAGCTACCGCACTGGGTGGGATATCGAAAAATGAGGGTAAAGGTTTGAGTAGCAGTGGCTTTGCCGTTCAGAGTGGAGTCGGTTGTACATGGATTCTCACTGACACGGAGTAAAGAGAAGCCATACGCATACAGGCATCAGATGCAGAATTCTTTCTCCAACCAGTGTCTCACAATGATCTTCCCTTCCTTAAATGATTCTCGAGGCGACCTAACAATGATGGCTGCATGACTATGCCGAACTTGATGGATGTGTACCGGGTATTTGCGGAACCCGACAGCATCGAGATTATCAATAATTTGGAATTGAGCAGCAGTCAAGGCAAGAGTAGGAAACGTAGCTTCTCTAGACTTGTGGGCAGTGTTGTTATCGGTGCTTTGAAGCGGTTTTGTTGCAGTATATGCTGTTGCTACAGCAGGTAGAGGCTGCGCAGGCGCTGGGGTTTCGCCATTCATGTCATGGGGTCTCTCGTTGGTAGCCGAAGTCGACCCTGATATATACTCTGGCTTCTGTGCGGCATTTGCGGTTTCGTACATGTCCTCAACGGCATTCCGGAATCCCTTCATGATCAGTGGAACCCTATAGGTATTGTAAATTACCCCGGATTTACCTTGTTCATGCAGGCGGATGCGTTTCTCGCTCCGAATTGTTTGATAGGCTGCATTTATTAGGAATAATACCGAAACAAATCCAATGACGGTGAATACAGCCAGTCGAAATGAGAATACCGTTATCATCGAGTAGGCAGAGGAGGTTGACTGGCCAAGTAATGATTGAGATTTCGGCTTCATGAGTATTGGTTGATCGGGGTCAATGACTATCGGCGCGTAACCATCAACATAGCTTATAGAGAGATCATCCACTTGTGTAAAGGGATCTATCCTGGATATTGCGGTTGTGTAATAAACTGCGCTCAAATCATTGATGGCGTTTGCATATAGGGTTCGGTGTCTAAATTTCGCAAGCGCAAGCATAAATATGCTTCCCGGGGTAGCAAGGATACTGAGAAGCGGTTTTCCAGTGTCACGGAACGAATCGATCATGAATAACTGTCGGCCTGAAGTCGATACACATCGAGCACCCAGCACATTCCAGAAATGGCTTGTCCTTGCAGGGCTTCTCACACCGACGTGTGGTGAGGCAAATGTGGTAAAGTTGACAGGTTCAATATCCTCAAAGTATCCTTTTGCATAGAGTAAACCGATAGCATATCGAGCTATCAGTCCACCCAATGAATATCCTACCACACTCATTTTGCGTATCTTGCACCCCTGCTCAGCGGAGCCCTTGATTGCTTCCTCCACTTCGTGGGCTACCCGCTCTCCACCCAGATCGATACCGTCATATGTGAGATTTCCCGCATTGCTTCTGGGGCATAGTATCTGTAGTGATGATTCGCCGTACTTTTCCCGCAAAGAGGATACGATATAGTTAAGGTGTGATGGATTACCCCATAGCCTGATGCCTGAAGTTAGCCTTCGTTCCTTGATATTGTTGTATCACGCTCCCACGATCACTCACCCATGAATTAGGACGCAAAGGTGATCACCCTTCGAATCATTTGGATGCTGACCGCCTTCTTCCATAACTAACAAAACAAGAATCGCTTGTGTATAACTGGATGGAGAATGATGGCTTGTAACATCCACCCTTTGGATCTTTATATCTTGTTGTGCTGTTGGAATCGCCGGAGCCTACGGAGATAAGGAAGGAATTAACGGAAGTTTGTTTGCGTTGTTTGCGCTGTTTGCATTGTTTGCATTTCAGGCAAGACGTCAATCCACTTTTTCGAGACGTCAACTTCGGTGACCAACGCACTCCCAACACATATTCTACTATCGTCTGTATTTGATAACCCGTTCATACACGTATTCTTCTGCCTTATTTATTCTCGGTTGGTCGCTTTGTATGCCCCTAAAGTGACCGCACGGCTCCACCGCAAAGAAACTGCCGGGTATTTACCCGATGCCCCAACTCGCCGCATAGGGCGAGCTTAATATATAGTTCTCTCACCGCAGCCAGGAATATGGGACATGGGCCCGGTCGTTGATACCCTTTCCCTATCCTTGCCATGTAAAGTTGCTCCGCAAAACAGTGGCAGTTCTCGCTTCCTTCAGCCTCACTAGACATCGATTGCCGTACTCCTATGCTTTGAGCATATCAGACCCTCCATGGGACTTGAGCCTAAAGCTACGCCTACGTTATTTTGAGTTGTGAGGAGACGATACAATGTTTAGCTCACTGGGGTTGTTCAGCGCAGTCCCTTGCCCCCAAAATAACCAATGCACCGTCATAAATTGCATATTCTCACATCAAGAGGTGAAGAATGCAGCCACCTTTCTGTCAACCGCTGACTCCAAAGAGAGAGCGAATCCACGGCCTGAAAATATAGATGAACCCATTAGGAAGAGGCAGCGTTTATATGACGATGGAGGGACCGTGAGTGGATCTTCCGGCCAGGAAATCGACGCTGCTGTGGTTGAACGTACTTCTACAACAGTTGCGGAACGGCCAAAATCCTCGCCCCCTAGGAGTAAAGGCAACCTTAACTCATTAGGGAGACGAGTGTCTCCTCCTCTAGTCAACCGCACAGCTACCCGTGCAAATGTTGCAGAACCTTTGGCAGAGGACCATGATAAAAGGACGTCAGACACCTCATCTGTCATGCAAAGGAGGCAAATAAAGAAAGAGACTCTCAATCCAAGACACTTGTCTAAACCTCCGGCAACGCATGTAATTCGCACGTCAATCCTAGTCAAATTGCACAGTGTGATGGTACGCCTTAACGAGGAGCTAAAGAAATCCGTTGACCCGTCCAAAAAGTGCATGATTCTCTCCGCTGATGAGTTGGTTTCGATGGCCTTGGATGAAGAAGAAAAAATTGCGAAAGAGTCGCCTGCTGTCTATTCGAATGTCGTTAAGCTACGTATAGTGAAACTGACGAAGATGAAACAGCAGGAATGGCAAGAGACTGTGACAGCTTTCCTCCGAACAGAAGACTCACCAAAAATAATTAAGCCAGAAGGCCCGCCACCGAAACCTTTATCAACTGGATTGACAGCTGAAGAGGAGAAATTAGTCCTCTCAACGCTCTGTGCTTCTACCAGAGATTTGAAAGAGCTTGAATATGTCATGATTCCTCCATCAATAGATGAAATTTCTGCTGCAAAGCGCGGAATAGAGGCGTCACAGGGGTGGGAGAAATGTGACCGATGTAATGGGAGGTTCCAAGTCTTCCCAGGCAGGAGATCTGATGGTGCCTTAACGTCATCAGGCCCATGTGTCTATCACTATGCAAGGCCAATTCGGCCGCCGAAGCAGAAAACCGAGCACGTAGTGGGACAGAAAGAGTTTTACTATCCTTGCTGTAAAGAACCTGTTGGAAAATCTACAGGATGCACAAAGGTAGATTCCCACGTGTTCAAGGTCACTGATATGAAGCGGTTAGCGGCTACAATGCAGTTTGAACGAACACCGCGGCAACCGGGCAAAAAAATCCTGCCGCCGGTCTGTGTTGATTGTGAAATGGGGTATACCACGTTAGGACTTGAGATGATTCGCCTAACTGCCATAACCTGGCCGGAAGGTAAATTGCTGGTTGATGTTTTGGTGAGGCCAATAGGAGAGATATTAGACCTTAATACTCGCTATTCGGGCATTCGATCCGAACAATTTGCTAAAGCTACACCTTATAAGACCGAGCAAGCATCCACTGCCACAACGAAAAAGCATGAGTCCAAGTCAACTAATAACCTTGAAATGGTTGACTCTCCTGCAACTGCAAGGGAGTTGCTTTTCCAACACCTACAACCAGAAACGCCTCTCATTGGCCATGCGTTGGACAACGACCTTAATGTTTGTCGCATTATCCATCCTACTATCGTTGACACTGTGCTGTTATATCCACACCCAGCAGGCCTGCCAATGCGAAACGGTCTTCGAGCTCTCACAAAGAAGCACCTTGGGCGAGATATACAAGCTTGTGGAGGTACTGAAGGCCATGATTCCATAGAAGACACTAAAGCTACCGGAGACCTGGTGAGGTACAAAGTAGGTGAGAAGTGGAAAGTTCTGAAACGCTCAGGCTGGACTATTCGTGATGGGGAGTTAGTGAGTCCGGCAGGTAATGGAGTCTCCCAAGGATCCTGGGCTTCAGATGCTGGCATTGGTGTGAAGAGGAAGGCTATGGATGGCACCTAGTGATGCATGAACCTTTTTACTTTATCGGCTGTACACCACCCCTATAGCACATCACGTCCTAGATTATTCTCCGGTCTTTAAGACCGAAAATCATAAACATAGTATCTATACTTTCAAAAGTCCTATCGCTGCGGCTAGTTGGTTGTTTTTTTTTTAAAAAAAAAAAAAAAAAGTAAAGAGAGAGAGCGAAAAGGAGAGCATCGAGGCCAAAGAGCCGATTATATTGAATTATAGAGAAGAGATGCGCATCACGCAAGCTTCGGTATCAACCATAAAAGCTCATAAGCAGGGCGCTAGATATCATGGATTGGTAGGATGAGATTTCTCCATCCAGTCACAAGTAACGTCCCCCCTCTCCTCTAAATTCCTTCATCAAAACTCGAATGGCCCATCCACCTATAGAACGCAAATGGCCTAAACTTTTAATGGGAAAAATAAGAGGTCATTCCGTCATTCTATTTACTCGTCATCCTCCTCAGCCTCGTCCTGGACAATGTTGTAGAATCGGAGCTCGTAGACACCCTTGGAGGCGGAGACAACGCGAAGCCAGTCACGGAGCTGCTGCTTCTTGAGGAACTTCTTCGTCCTAAATTGAGAAGAATGCCAGTCAGTATTGATGCATGGAATACGATACAGAAATTTTTCAGGGGACAACGCACAAGTACTTGAGGTATCGGCCGGAGAAAGGAATATGAGTGATGACCTCAATCTTGCCGTCACCAACCTGGGAGATCTGAACAGACTCGCCAAGGTTGCCTACACGGCCCTCAACCTTGATCCTGTCGTGCAGGAACTTCTCGAAGGCAGAGACATCGAAGATCTTGTCGTTGGCGGGTTGAGAAGCATTGATGATGTACTGTATCAATTACCATTAGAATGCGATCTCCAACGGGCTTGATTCTGGTTTAACAAGGCTTAGTTCGAGAAAAGAGCAAATAACGTACCTTCTTGGTGACCTTTTGCTGTCTGCCTTTGGCAGAACGGGCCTATTAATTATAATAAACCACCCAAGGCGGGTGAGGATGAGTTAGCCTACTGCTCCCATTGTGGCATATTGTCGTCTTCTTGAAGATCTTTTTTATTCGCCCTCCGGGGAGGGACGAGTTCCGAGATCGACTTCAGGGGGGAACAGCAAAGCAATTCTCAACAAGTAGACGTACAGTTGTTGGAGCCATTGTGACGACGGTGGATGTATGTGACTGGGATAAACCGCAAAGAGGTAAATATCCTGCGGAGTTGTTGTATTGGCGTGGTGGTTTAAAGATCTTCTTCGTTCGTCGATTTTTCATGTAATTTACAACGTGAGGATGAACTCTTGGCGTGGGTGAAATAGGGTTAGGGCTAACAAAGTCACGTGTAGATATAAAAGTATATTTCTACTTGGACGTAAGAAGAGATGGGCAAGCATGAGAACTTCCAGATGCTTGGAAAAGTTATTAGACTTGTCTGAATAATTCATTGCTTTTCTACTGTAGGTCTGAGCGCCATGAGCATAAAGCTATGAGAGAATAGAGAGCACGGTAATAGCGCCAGTTGTTACAGTTACTCGCTGTCCCCCTTCTTGGGAATCAAGTTTCGGAGAGACAGATCATACACTACATCCTCGACCTTTTTGACCTATATCCATGGACCCATCTGTAAGTCTGTGCAGTAAATCTTTGGTTGATATCCTTATGGTTTGGTTTGGGTTATACGCACGTTATATTTGATCCCGTCACTTCTCTTTCTCAATGAATCATTCTTGAGATTCAGGAGCTGGAACCCTGCGTGAAGGTCAGAGATAAAGGTATGGATTTGTAGAGGTCGAGTACAATCGCCAAGGGTGACTGAATTGACAGCGAGTCGAGACTGTGTTTCTAGTTAGTAACTACAATTAAGTATTGAGGGATTAGAATGGCCTACTAGCTCCTCGACAAGGGAGATAAGAGCATGCAAATACTCTTCGATCGTAAGGTGGAAGGCATCCTGGTCCTTCAGATTGACCGGAACTATTATTAGAGTTAGACACTGCCTCAGATCATGGGAGAGGAGGGCTACAAACCGGCAAGGAACTTTCCCACGTCTTCAATGGTCATGAAGGTCGTGTTGTCGCTGACGACTCCCTTCATACCGCCGAGCCAGCTGCAGAACTCGATCGAGAAGACCTGTTCTGGCATGTCAGCAGGGGTATAATGCACCATGAAAGGAGGCAGATGTCAATACCAGCTTCTGCAACTCTTTACTCCAGAGGTGGTTATATTTGTAGAAGGGGTGCTTTGAGGCAACAGTCACCAGCTTGACGATGTCCTCTCGCTGTGCTGAGATTTCTCTTGTGGCATCATCAAGGATAGGGTTTACTTCGGGGTGGTATCAGCATGTGCAGACGCGTCTATTAGCATGACGGAGAAGTGAGCCTACTTTGAGATGGAGGCGTAGAGTGAGCTCGTGAGAGAAGCGCCTGAACGGCTCTGCCTGTTCCAGTGATGCCCCGTTAGCCTTGGGAATGTAGACACAGAGTGAACGAAGAGGTCACCTCGCTTAGAGAGCTCCTGGACGATATCTTGAATTTCCTGGTTGTTTTGGTTAGTTCGAGCTGAGAAGAGAGATACTCTAGAAGTATGCATACATCACGGATCTTGGACTCTTCATCGATTTTCGACTGTAAGCTCTCGAAGATAGACGAGTCAATCATCTTGGGCAGTTTGTATTGGGTGGAAGGGTGGGAGGGTGATGGTTATGCTGTAGGATGTTGATGGTTTACAGTAGGTTACTCGGTTCAAAACAGTGGTCCTTGAGCTTCAACTTTGCCCAGCAGCAAGAAGACATCAAACCAAAGCAAGACCAACAAAGCCGATAAAAGCTCAAATCTCTCTTCTTTAACACTTCAGCAAGCCGAAGATATCAATGAAAAAAGAGGTGGGTTCGCGTCGATCGGTGGTAGTGTAAGACCGATGACACGGTGCGAAAAGACATGCGCAAGCACAGAGGTCTAATCGCGCGGTACAAAAATAAGAATAATCACTTTCGTATTCCTTAGAATACTTTCAGAGATTAAACTGAAAAGAACAGATACTACACTTGATCTAAGCCATAATGGCAAAGAGAGCTGGAGAAGAAAAGAGAAAAAAAATTTCAAAAGAAGGCGGGCGGCTGGAGATATTTATACCTGGGCGGGTGGGGCTAGCGCTAAGCGAGGTTTCCATACGCGGCTCCCATTGGCTGGCCGCGAGAGATGGTAGATTATGTAAGATTGTCTTTCGGAAATACATAATGCCGCCTCCGCTCCGCTTTGGGAAGGGCCTCCACTGGGGCCAGGCGGGAGATAGGTAGGTAGGGATGCAGGAAGGGAAGAGAGGAGAGCAGCGAAGGTACAAACACGCCAGGGATGGCACAGCGCATAGAGGATAGTTAGCAGTTATCTGAACTATTTACAGGATAGTTCTGATGAAGATTACGTTATTATGATGCACGTTTATGACCACACTGTGGCATTGGAAAATTCACCAAAATGGCTACCGCGCTTGGGTAACTTGTGGAAGTCTATAAAAGTAATTAAGAGAGCAGTATTCTTATAACTCTGTGTTCTACGGCTTCCCCAATTCATTGCCTAGGACATCGACGTCCAACTCTTCCATCACGCCGACGACGACGCCGAGAGAGTCCATAAAGGCGTTTACTGCCACCCGCAGCATTCGGTTGGTAGTGGCTCTGTATTCAGTCTCCAAAACCGTTAAGCTCTCATCACTGACATCTACATTGTCGTCAGTAGCAGCCTGTCCAGTTTTAGGCTCCCCTGCTGTCCGGTTTACTTGTATTTCATTTTGTCGTGTGATGATGCTGGATGACTCGGGATTTGTGAGACGGAATGTGCGCTTGACCAGCGGTGATAGCTCAAGGTCTACCTGTAGCGCCCGAAGGGCAGAGGAGGCAAGTCGGTGTGTGGGAAGGGGTACGGATATAGTGCTGCATATATTCATCACAGTTAGCACCTAAGCGAGTAACAGGATATGTAGAGTGGGATATGAGCGCAAGCAACGAACACCTCAGCCTCAGTCATCAGCCAACATACAGAGAATAAGGAAAATCCTGATCAGCAGCTTGCACTGACTGGGCCATGGTTAATATGACTACCGTAGGGGCACACCAGGGTACGTTGATATGCGTTTGGAAGAGGAATTATTGCGGCCGGCTTGAGATTTTCGCACACGGCGGGGCAGACACGGTATCGTTCACGCAACAGCCAAGCCTGATGCCAGTATTAATAGGTAGATAGCCTCCAACAGCGCACATTTGCTGTTGTTTGTTTCTCGCACCGTAAGAAAAGCGATGGTTTGGTGTTATATCACCGCAAAGCGTCAGGTTCTTGGTTATGGTTCCTTGCATCCAGATGTGTCTTTCGCCACTGAGGCTTGCTTTGTGGAGTCGGTTTCAAGGATGCCGAACCAGAAACAGATCACACCTGTGTTCACTGGTAACCCTGCATTCCCGTCGAACTGAGGAAGGGGTCCGCCTGTATCCGTAGCTCAACTTGGTATCTTCATGGAAGGGCGAGGGTGCTGTCCATGGTTCGGGCATCCCACCTGCACCATTCCAATGGAAGGAAACGGCATGGATAAACAAGCGGCCGGTGCCTGTCTAGGGACCCTCGTGCCCAACGGTCGTCCCCTCTTTGTTCCCGGTGGCACAAACCAGACACACAGCGTCATCTCGTCCACGCCCACGTCTTGTGCTCGTCTCGCCCTCTCTCTCGTCCCTGTATACGCTTATCTCGCCGTCGCCTCGCCGTCGCCATGGAAGAGGAGCTTGTTGCCCTGGCGCTTCCGTGTTTGTTTTGGTCTTAGCGCCCGCCGCGCGCTAGCCTGAAACAGCAGCTGGGCCCACTCAGAGCCATCTGTCCAATCAGCAGCCCCGGCCTCTGGCGGTTGCTGGGTCAACCGACGAGTCTAACCTTAATAGGACACGTGACAACATAACAAGCAGCGGTGGTCCATGCGCCTTCGCTGTCCCTTTTGGGAAAAAAAGGAAAAAAGGAAGAAAAATAAAAAAAAACAACAACATCAATAACATCAACATCATAATAAATAGTATTAAGGTCATAACAACATAAACAACACCCTTGCCTCGTCGCGGATTTATTATTCTCTCTATTCACTCTCTCCTACTCTCCTTTTCCCTTCTCTCGACGCTATCACCAGGCTATTCTTCCGTCGCCATCCTTACTGTTTATCTATAACCTCGATGATGCAGCTTTGATCTTGCGACAGCCTCTCTTCAGTATATCACGATCTCGCGGACCCAAACCTTTGTTGTCGTCGCTGCTGCCGGAGGGAGAGCTTGCCATACCTTCTGCCACATACTCTTTCTACAGATTCGATCCCAATTGAGTACAGGACAGATCGATCTAGCTCAACATGCCGCCATCAGGGACCTCTGGGTTGTACGGTGCTCCGATCGAGTACATTCAAGGTATATATATGTCCCGATTCATATACTGCCCTTGGGATGCGGCCATTCAGCTCATTCTCTTCTAGATCGCCTTTACCTGGCTTCTTATCATAGCCCACCCTCCGAGAATACTCCCTTTCCGTTCCTCGCAGCGCCACCAAAGTCTCCCAGCAAGAGGCGGGCCGGCGCAAGTACTCCCTCCAGAAAGCATCAGGCCAAGGCCCCCGTTTATTTCAATATCGATGGTTTGCTCCTGTACAATTCTTTCCATGCAGACTTTGGCCCCTTCCATATCGGACACCTGTACAGATTCGCGGTACACTTTCATGAAATCCTGGGAGACCCAGAAAACGCCGATCGTCCAGTGGTTCTGTGGACCAAACCGGACTCTCGAAGCAGGGCAAATGTTGCATGTGTCGTAGCTTGCTATATGGTGCTGATTCAATCCTGGCCTCCTCACCTCGCACTGGCCCCGATTGCCCAGGCAGACCCACCATACATGCCATTCAGAGATGCCGGGTACAGCCAGGCGGACTTTGTCCTTACTATCCAGGACGTGGTATATGGCGTCTGGAAGGCCAAGGAGGAAGGCCTTTGCGGGCTCAAGGATTTCAGTCTAGAAGAGTAAGTTCATGCTTTCGCCCCCGCGTTTGCTAGCCAACGGTGCAGATTTAGGGCTAACAGAAATGTAGATACGAAAAGTATGAACGAGTTGATATGGGTGATTTCAACTGGATCACCCCAAGCTTCCTTGCATTTGCGTCGCCGCAACATTCTCCCACCGCAGTTGTTCCTCAAAACACCCCTGAATTCGCTGCTTTGCCATCCACCATCGAGCAGGTCCAGGACAGCGAGCTGCCGGTTCCTTTTAAGAATGTTCTTACCCATTTCTCGACCAGGAATGTTGGCCTGGTTGTACGGCTCAACTCCGAACTGTACAGTCCATCGTACTTTACTGCACTCGGAATCAACCACATCGACATGATATTCGAAGACGGAACCTGCCCACCCCTCCCACTGGTAAAGCGGTTTATCAAGATGGCACACGAGATGATCACAATCAAAGAGAAGGGAATTGCAATTCATTGCAAAGCTGGGCTTGGACGAACTGGCTGCTTAATAGGGGCGTATCTCATTTATCGATATGGATTTACTGCGAATGAAATCATCGCATTTATGCGCTTCATGCGCCCGGGTATGGTTGTTGGGCCGCAACAGCATTGGCTCCATCTGAATCAAGGAAGTTTCCGTGAATGGTGGTTCGAAGACCAGCTTAAGGAGAAACTCTCACTGCCTACCCCCACCACACCAGGGCGTGTATCCTCTAAACAAAGACTCAATGGCAGCCAGACAGCAACACCACCACACGGAAACCAAGCCAAGAGAGCTGCTCTTGGAGAAATTGATACCAATGAGAGTGTCAATGGCTACGCGGATGAGAACCTTCCTGCTCCAACTCCAGGACAACCAAGAAAGTCACATCGCAAAGACTCAAGGCACCACCCATACGCCCGTACGCCATCTGCTAGTCTAGGAGGTGCTGCTGCATCCCCGAGACGAGGCCTGTCCAGAACCCATTCAAACAACCGGGCCGACAGCGATGAGGAGATCCAAGCTCTTGTCAACCGTGTTACTTCTCCACGGACCCCTGTTTCCAGTTCTCAACGATCCCTTAGCCATTCTGCGGCTCTGACCCCCGAGATAGACATCCACGAAGACGTCGAGAACTGGGTTGGTGACTCCGGTTCACCAAAACCCAAGACGCCATCCAACACAAAGAGTGGAAGCGGAGTTCTAGGAGTGAGCAAGCAGCGGTCCAACCCAAGACGAACAGCCGACAGCCGGGCTGAATCTCGTGGAGTCCGCAAGTCAAGTGGAAGAATCGGGAGTGCTGGCAATATCGCCAAGGCGAAGAACATCTGAGCTCCTTGCAAATCAAACAAACGGGTCCAGGCTAAGCCGAGCTTTTGATGATGTCTAATGCCGCTCTACTGGCGAAGTTCATCGTATTCCTCTTTCAAAGACGCAAATCTTGAGCTTCATGTTTGATTTAATCGTGTACGGAATCTTTTGATCTGCCCTTTTTCTGTTTTCTTTATCCATTGCCCTGTTTCCCTGACGCAGTGTGGCTTATTTTTTTCGCTTGAGTTTCAGTTGATATCTATTTGGTTGCTGCCGCTCAATGATTGATGCATGGTGGGAAGTTCCGGAGTTCGATGCGTTCGGCTTTTTATGGGTGATTTTTGCCTTTCCGTTTTTCCACTATGGTATTGTTACTGCCTAGTTCTTGTTTAATGTCTTACCTTTCTCGCCCATCCCCGACGTCTCATGTTCCTTTCCGGAAGTGATAAAAAGCGTCTGCTAGAGGCATGACATGGAGTTTACATAGCCGAGACAGATATAAAATGGGATTTACTCAATTTAATTCATTTCTCGCATTCTGTGAAAATCATGATAGTCGTAAATCGTGGCTGTAGGACAAGTGGGATCAACCTAGGTAGGCACTTTCCAGCTGTACCAATCTTTGGTTCTACAAAGATTTAACACTCTCCATCGCCTTGGTCCAGTATTTCTTCCGCTCATCGGCAGCAGTGGTTCCAATACACTCAGTCAAGTACTTGGACCATCCCTCCTCAGAACCAGACTGTAACGCAGTCCTAACAGCGGGAGTACACTGGGTAGTCAAGAACCACGCCGCCGATCCAAAGTCATAATCATCCTTGGAGAGCAGCATATCTAAAACCGCCTCAACATTATTCGTCTTGGGGCCAATCTTAGCGGCTAACTCAGGGATCGACTTGGCATAAAGGGCGTTGAAGTTGGGCATCTGCATGTTTCGAGCTAAGGTCGATAGGTTAGTTCTGTGTTATTCCTGATTATATGTTGAGAGACTATGGGGTGTCCAACTTACTGCCTTGGCCAGGTCTACCAGGGAATACGTTCTTCTGATATTTGAACTCTCCAGACTCCAATGCGATAAGACTCAAGATGGCAGCCATCTCGGGCTTGGAGGTGATCTTGTATCTCTCGAAGGAGCGGATGATAGGCTCTGCAGCTTGTGAGGCGCTTCGGCACTGCCCTTCTGCCTTCGCTGCGGAGACGCAGGGTTCCTTAGCCGAGGCCGGAGCAATATCCTTCAGAACTTCGATCATTTTGTCTTTGGATATGGTTGATGATGGGCCAGGTGTCCCGATTGGGTGGGAAGTAGCCTGTGATGGGAGTGGTGGAGGTGGTGCAGGGAGAGTGCTTGGAGCTGCTGGGATATCATTGCAGTCGTCCCTGGGAACAGGGTTGGCGGAGGCGTAAGATGCAAGGAGAAGGTATATCGTAGTGGTAAAGAAACGCATTTTGGATGTGCTTTATGAGTCGTTTATCTTTGTTTAAGTCCGTATGCAGCAGAATCTGTCTCTGATGATGCTTGTAGCTGTCGATGGAAAGAAGAGGGAGGAAGATACATTTTCAGATCCAGGATAACTCGACCGGCTATATATACGCCCCGACAACTGGTTCTTTCACCGGCTGGCCGCTTGTGACGGCGTTTTCCTCCCTCTGTGAACATCCATTGACTCGATCGTCACGCTAGGATGTGCCTCCTGCATCAGTGACTCCATCTTATTCTTTGATGGCTGGCCTATTCCGGGCCTGAGAGTGGCCTTCGAAGTCTCTCGCTGGCTCCAGAGACCCAACGCTAAGCTTTCAGCAATGCTTGTCTTCACTTCACACTGGGCAATTTATGGGTATCGAGTGACTTGCCCCTGGATATCAGTGGCCAATCTCTGTTCACCAGTGGCTCTCTTCATTTGGTATCCTGGTAGGTCAAAGCCTGGCATGGTGCGCCATCACGCTTTTAGTGGCAACGTGGGTAACGGACCGAGCGGCCGCATGTTGTCGAAGCGAAGAATGAATATGAGGGATCATGATTCTATTCGTGTATTCCCCTTTTTCACCCCGGGAAATAAATTTGTTGCTGGTGTGGAGTGACTCGTGTCGTTTCATCTTTGTCGACGGTGCGCGCGATGAGTGGCTGGCATTGCAGCCCCTGAGAATCGAAGCTTTTGATAGTCCGGGATGTGCATAGAAAAAGAAAGCCACCGTCCCACACCCACATCCTCATCTCTCATGTTCGGGACTGTACGGAGTATGGAGTAAATAATACATCGATTCGGGACAGCCAATGGCAGGGGGGAACCATATTCTCGAGTGAGGTCAGTGTTTGAGAGCATATGGGGTGCTCCCGTTGATTTCTTTGGACTCCCCCAGTTCTCCTATAAGTTTGAAGGCCGACGCTGACGTCTGTTAATAGATAATAACCAGTTAGATTCATCGATCTTCCTAACCAACTGCCTTTCCAATTATGCTATAGCTACGAGCACTGTGGTTGATATCTTTCTCATATTGAGCAAGGCATCCCTTATACATCCCTTATACTTCTGCCACAAGAATGGCCGCTCTCACTCGTGCCTGTCCATTTCTCGATTATTCAGTTAAATGATATATATAACTGGTGGCATCTTCCTTTTGCACTATCTACTCCCTAACAAACGGAGCGGTGGATTCCACTTCTCATCGGATGGCCTGCAGTCTTTTCTTTCTTTCCACTTGGCCGCTTCGAGACCTTGTGAGGCTGCTCTCTGTTTCTTACTCGACGCCGCTCAAGGTTGGTTGGGCCTGTCTGGAGTGCAGACAGGTCGACAGGGTCGGATTTCATCAGCCTCTCGGTGACTGCAGCAATATCTGCCACAAGCTTGTCAATGAGGTCTGCGGCCATGCTCTCCCGGACAACCACCCGCAGAATCTCCGTGTCCTGCTCTTTGGGAGGTAAAGGGTAGTCTGGAGACCCGAAGAGTCAGTTTGAATCCATTGCTATGCGCGATACACCACCAGTTTAATTTAGGGGATGTGATATAACTTACTGGGAATTATATACTGCTTCGACCTCAGCAGGAGGCTTATGCTCTCTTGCTTCACATGGGGATAATTCTCTTTGAATGCATCTGAGAATCGGAATGTTACCACTGGCAAACCAGCGTTATAGTCAGCAGATGTTTCGTCCTCCTTATAGGGCGTAATTTTGTTCAGATGCTGGTGGTAGAATTCCCCTTTCTTCCGGTGGATATCGCTCAAACAGACAAACCATCCAGTCCGTTCCAAAGTTTTGCTCAGCAGTCTTGCATTTGCCAAACAGTTTTCCATGATTTCTCGATACCCATTGAACCCAAGGCGGATGAAGTTATAGTACTGGCCAATTACCTGTGCTCCAGGCCTGGAGAAGTTCAATGTATAAGTCTCCTCTCTGCTCCCGAGATAATCAAGCTCGAAAATGAGCTCTTTTGGCAGATAGGAGCGGTCTCGCCAGATTATCCAACCCAATCCTGCATACACGAGACCGTACTTATGTCCGGATGCATTGATTGACTTCACTCTAGGAAGTTCGAAATTCCTTGAAACCTCACATTAGCACGGCCAGGAAAACGGCACTGTTCAGCAAGGCAAAGTCTTAGATCACACATACCACTTTGGCCCTCCAGCCCCTGCGTCAGTGAATGGTGCCACAAATCCACCGCTGGCAGCATCAACATGAATAGGGACATCTATACCGGTTTCGGACTGTATGCCATCCAGGATATTAGATATCTCTTCGACAGGTTCATAGTGACCAGTATAGGTGCTTCCAAGGATCACAAATATCCCAATGGTATTCTCGTCCACATTTTTCTTAACCAACTCTGGGTTGAGACGAAATTGGCTCTTCTCGGATACATCCAGAACTCGAGCTTCAACGTCAAAGTACCTGGCGAACTTCAGGAGAGCTACCTGAGCGTTTGATCCCATGATGATATTTGGATTAGAGATGTCCTTTCCTTCATCCTTACGTTTCTGCTGCCACTTCTTTTTCATGGCCAGCCCACCCAACATGATGGCTTCAGAGGACCCAGTTGTCGCAGATCCGGTGGCTTCTTCTCCTGGTTGTGGATTCCATAGATTGGATATTATGGATATACATCTTGCGTGTATAGCCATTAACGCAGGGTATTCATCTGCATCCGCTAGATTCTTACTGATATTCTCAACCACAAGTTGATTTGCTTCTCGGTCCATGTAAGTACCAACGAAACTATATGCCAAACAATTATTAGCAGTTACTTTCTTGAGGGAATCAACGGTAGCGCTGGGTCGCATGTACCTTGCCATGTTCAAATTCGGGATACCATCTAGATCGAGTTCATTGCTCAGCATATGGTGCACCGCATCTGCGCGAGCACCCAGCTTAGGGATCTTGAATTTAGGTATCTCCTCTTTGCTAGAATATCTCGTTGAATACGGCGTTACAGACGAGACCGCATTTGAGGTAAAGATGGCAGAAGCTTCCCGCTCCTGTTCTTTGTCGAAATCTTCTCGAAAGTGTTTGATGATATCATCAGGATCAACCTATAGGTATGGCCGTCAAAGTTAGCAGCGGTCCTGTAATCAGTGGTGGGGGAATGTGAATGTATTGGTTTCATGTGCTCTGTATAGATAGACCAAAACCTACATGCGATGAGAGCGACATCTTCGATAGTTAGCTATATCTACCAACGCCAACATATATCAACCAACTACGTCCAATTCACCGACAAACATAAGTCCTCGGTGTTATCTTGGCCTGTTCCTCCTTCTCAGTCGAATATATATCTCTGCAGTTTTATTATTTCTATTTCCTGCATATTCCTGTTTTCGGTCTGATGAAGTCATAAAAAGCCAATAACTGCTAGCTACGTCATTGGTAGTACAACGCAATGAAGCACAGCATAGAAAAGAAGAACTCAATTAACTGTTCTAGATGGGAATATCGGGCAAAGATGTAATGATTCCGCTCACAGTCGCTCTGCATATTCCGTCACAACACTTTTGGGCTCTACGTATTTACCCAAGGGAACATATTTGATATCCTTATATCCAAACGCCCCTGGCCCACCAATCTCCAGTGCTCTTTCGGTATCTGACCATCGAGGGGAACATGCAATTCCCAACACAGTTACCATAACACCATATCTGAATTCGGGGACCCCAAGCGCCTTTCCAGACTGTGTGTCAAGGACGCAGATCAGATCAGGCACTGTTGCCACATATTTCTCGACGCCTTCGTCGGAAATGTGTTTGGCATAGATATTTTCGTTCTTGAAAGGGATCTTTAGGACACCCCCGGTGGCCACAGGTGTCAATGATCGCCTTGCATCTCCTGAGAGCTCGTCTGCTACACTTGACTCGACTTCTTTTTTAAGGACTTGTTGAATTGTGATTTCGCCATATGAATGGCCCTTGAATAGTCGTCTTTCCACGGCAACTATCTTTCCTCGGAAGAGAATCTTACCAGATTCAGGACCGCCAACCTCGTCAATCATCTGTTCAGCCACGGTGCTAATGGTGTTGGTAGCATTTGCACGCGCGATGCAACGCCCAATACGCCACGCAAGGGACATGGTATTGAGCACACCGAACCTTAACATTTTGTCGCCTGTAGTAGGACGGGCGGCTAAACCTACACTCGACCCCATTTCAGCACACGAGGCGCGTAGTGCTCGATCGACAAGTTCATCACTTGCGCACTTGTTCATAATAATTGTGCTCCCACTTCCGGAAAGGATGCAGCAAGGCACCAATTCGCCAGGCTGATATACGCATATAGTTGTTTGCCAGAATGTTGGGTAGGCCCGACCTACGCAAAAAACAATAAATATCAGGAATGTCAAATAGAAAGGAAGATTGATACATACCCATCCAATCGGCATCGACTACAGGGCGATCAAAATGCTTTGACGAGCCGATAGAAAGAGGCAGGATACCATTGCCGCCACCGATTTCTACTCCCATTACAGCATCAAAGCTGCCATGTTTGAGATACTCCATAAGGGCATGGATGGATTGTTCGGTCTCGTTGTTTGCTTGTCGTTCTACAGAGACAGCTGGAGAACCCATGTGACCGCCCCCTTTCACTGGCATCAGTACTATCAAAATCAAATCGTGAACGCAATTGACTCAACTTACAATATATCACAGCATCCTTTTTTACAGAATATGGGTCAATGATACGTATAATGTGTCCTTGCCGTATCTGATCGCGAATTCGGATGTGTTCACTGAAAGGCGAGCCTCCACCAGCACATCCCAGGACGTAACACCCATCAGCAAGCCAGGCAACGTCTGTTTCGGAAACAATCCATTCGTCGATCCCTGTTTGAGGGTTTTTCACGACTTTTGGGCGGTAGGTTGCAACATCTACTGTGTTGGCGCTGAACTCTTCTGTCTCAATATTCTGCTTAGGAACCTCGTTATATATTGTATCATCTCCTTCGTCATCATCTCCACCATTTCGTATGTTGTCGAGGGTTAGGACACCTTCAGGCGACAGCTCACCAACAGCTCGCGCAATAACGCGCACTTGGTTTGCGACGTATTGAAGAGGCATCGAATCAACCTCGGCCAGGTATACTGTCTCTCTGATGGCACCAGAGGCAACCGCTTTTTCAATCGCCCTGGCTTTGGCTTCATCAACAACTTCTGCTACCGTCTTTTCGGCCGTACTCTCAATAGAGTCAACTGTGCCGCCAACCTTGGACATGGCAGCGCCGACTGCATTTGCAACGGAATGAAATGGGGGAAATATGACCTTTGACACGCCATCGAGTTCCGCTGGAGCCAAAACTGAGCCGCCTCCGACTAGCAGTACAGGTAAAGGGGCTGGCGAAGTTTTCATTTGGTCAATAACTGTTTCCAGCATAGTTTTCACTCTTGCCTGCGCAGCGGAAACCAGTTCCTTGTCCAAATCCTTGACCAAGTCGGGGTTGCCAATCTTGGCTCCAGCAGCCACAGCAATATCTGTTGCTGTAAGTGTGTCTCCTCCGAATACGGTGCCTTTGGTGCTGAGATAATGGCCGACAGAATCAGGTCCGATGGTAGTGTTAGCTCCTTTGTGACGGACTATGGAACCACCCCCGAGGCCAATGGATTCGACATGGGGCATGCCGAAATTGATCTTCACGCCAGCTACTTCGACATACGCAGAAGCCTGGCGCGGGAATCCAGACGGGAGTAATACTCCAACGTCCGTGGTAGTACCACCAATATCAACGACAATCGTTGCCGTACGGTCATTTCCGGTATCATCCGGCCCGCTAAGTCCTAAATATGCAGCTCCTCTCATAGAATTGGTTGGTCCAGAGGAAAAAGTACGGATTGGAAGTCTTGAAGCAGAAGGAGCGTCAATCAAAGTTCCGTCGTTCTGAGTAAGGTATAGAGGACAGTTCAGGCTTAAGCGTTTCATTGCTGACTTAAAGCCTCGGATGGTGCGCCGTGCAAACCTGAGGATAGAGGCATTGAGAATAGATGCGTTCTCACGCTCAAGGAATCCAATCTGGGAGACTTCAGAAGAGCAAACAATATCAACTCCAGGCAGCTCTCTTTGAATAATCTTTCGAACATTGTCTTCTTGGAAAAAATGCTTGTCGACTGGAGAGAATACACCAGAGATGACGACTGCGTCTAACCCTAATTCTTTAATTTTGGCACATTCTTTGACCACCTGAGTTTCATTTATAGGTGATTCTGCTGCTCCATCAATAGTGAGCCCACCGTCAACGTAGGTGTAATAGCCGTTCATAATTGACTTGAGAACTGGAGGGAAGTCTGAAAAGGGGGGTACCTCTCTCGTGAAACTCTTGGAAAGCCGGATGATGGCCACTTTTGATAGGCGTCGAGCATCGTGTTCCACTATGGCATTGATAAAATGCGTTGTTCCAATGGTTAGGCAGGCAATTTGATCTCTCGGTACCTTGGACTGCTCACGGACATTGAGAACGGCAGTTTCTATCCCATCAGTAACATTGGGACTTGTAGTTGGTGTTTTATGTTGAGCAATCACCCCGCGATTTGCTTCATTCGTTGCACGAACATCCAATATGACGCTATCCGTATTGGTGCCGCCGACGTCGACACCGATCCGATAAGGAGCTGCTAATGATGACATTGTCGTGATGGACACGGCGTACAGAGATCACATATAACACGTCCCTGGATCCGGTGTAGCAATAAGGGGAACGTAAAATTTGGATGATACGATGTACGAGAAACCAGAATCCTTCCACATGTCAGCTTCGGAGTGCGTGGCTTGGAAGCTGTAATTTATACCTCGTACACCCGGATAACTGAGTGTCCCGATAATTGATAACTGCATCAAACGTACGGAGTATCTTGGTATACAGCCACCAGACTCAAACCCGGGGTAGTGATCATAAGAGAATACGGGGAAGAAGTGTTCTGGCCGTCAGATAAGACGTGCAAATCCCAGTAATATTCTCAATCGCCGAGTTCCACTTCACGCAAGTTATTGTCCTGATGCGGAAACTAATTTGACACCCGGATGCTAAATTATTGCATGGTGAGGATGACCATGTTGAATTTATGCAAAGAATTTCGGGGTCGGGGCCAGCTGATAGGCTGTGGTTATGATGGCTTCAACAAGGCGGAAGGTAAGGCTTCATTTCCACCAACAGGTGTAGAACTTGGCCGATGGGTGTCAACATTGTTTCCCCCGACCCCCAGATTAACCTGCTCAAGATCGTCCCCGTTCAAGCTCGGTAGTGCAAGTTGATCCTCCGTAATTGCAGGACAAATCATCGGTAGTAGCTTCTCGGGCGAGGGGGGCGTGTCAGTATGGATGGCTAGACCGCTCAATATTATGCAATGTTCCCAAATTCTACTGAGGGCCTCCAAGATGGTGAAGCGGGTTTCAAGAATCAAAGGCCAAAAGCATTGTATCATAAGCGATGATGCGCTGCAAGCAAGGATGGCTCTGCAGTTCTCCAGAAATGGTCATCAGGCTCATACACTGGACTGCTGAGGAATTGTATCAGGAGAGAGAGAGAGAGAGCGAAAGATGAATAATTATCCTGTTGATAATGCGCCCAAAAGAAAAAAGGTATCCCTATGTAAGACAAACATCCTCCAAGAAGAGAAACAAAAAAGAGAACAAAAGAAAAAAGCAAATGCCGTTATTACTCAAACACACAAGTCATAAGATCGCTCTATATAGCTTCATTTCCAAGCCCCCTGGCTCAAGGAGAGTAAACCCTGGATGCAGTCAAGATCCTCTTCCTGGTTCGAACTTGTGCTGGGGAGAGATGGCTTCCCAGTAAGTCCGGTGTCCTTGTTTTTGTCGTGGTCCTTTCGAGGAGATGTCATTCCCCGCCCAATAATTCGATTCCCCTCGCGCCGAGCGTCCCCTGATGTCTGAAGAACACGATTCTGCGGGTGGGCGGTGGGATGTAGTCGACGGCGACGAGGGCCAACATTCTGTGTACCTGGGAGCCAGTTTTCCTTGTCGGAGTCACCGTTGTGGAAATCTGTTTTGGGCTTCATTTTTTGGTTTCTGTTGCCGTGAGAGCTGTTAAGTTTGGCGGTGCTAACAGTTTCTAATGATGGTTCAGTCTCTAGCCGGCCAAGGGAGGACACAGCGCGCGATAGTTTCTTTCGCTTCTGGGGTGGGCTAGCGGGTAGCAGTGAGTTCGGAAGATTAGCACATGGCGATAATATACGTGCATTCGCATTGGAAACCCTCCTGCAAGAGAATCTGGCGCTTCCACTCCGGTCAGGTGTAGGGCCCGTTCCGAGTTTAGGTGAGGAGAGAGCGCTACGCGCGTCTGTATCACAGTACAACTCCCATCTGCGTAAATCTCGAGACCGACCAAATATATCAGCAGCGTCTGGTGATTTAGATCCAAATGAGACGGCACTGCTAGTCCGTCGAAGGCTTCTAAGTCGGGACTGAAGAGAGAGGGGAGTCGAAGTACGGTTTCGTGAAGGAGAGGGTGACGGCTCTCCTGCCGTTCGAACAACTGCTTCACCGTCTGCAGAGAAAGCAATTCTCAAAGAATCGCGAATCTTAGGAGGAGATGGGGTCTTCTCATCTTCGCCACGTACCACTGCCTCGCCATCAAAGGAAAGAGAAAGACGAAGAGATGGCGAGTTCGTGGAGCCAAATGATCTTCGTCCATTTTCAAGTTCACCAACTTCTAGTCCGCTGATGCCTGAATCCGCACGCTTCCTCTTACCGGAGGAAAGCTGAGCACGTAATCTTGGTTCACTGATGGCAGAGCAAAATCTACACTGGTTTTCTTGAGATTTGGCAGATGTAATAGAAGTTTGTGAGCTTTCGAGCTGTGACGATGCGATATTGTGTTCACACTGGCAGTTGGAAAAAGACTGAGAGGGTGTGCCCAGTGTATTACCGTAGGAATCATCGGCGTTTGAATTCAGGTTTCCATTCTGTGTGTTTGGTGGACTAGCATCTACGGTTTTTTGAGAGTTTTCGGGTTCTTGTGTATTCGGGGATAGTTCATTCGGATGCAGCGGTTTGGATTTTCGCCTGTCGTTCTGCCTTCTGTTCTGAAACCATATCTATAATGCGGGGATTGTTAATGTCTGGCAGGTGACGACGAGCCGACCGACTGAGACCGTACCTGAACTTCCTTATCTCCTAAAGAGACTCTGCTGACGATGCTCGCTCTGGTGGCCTTGTCAGGCTTTGGATTCAATCGGTATTCCGCTTCTAAAATAGCATGGTCCTCGGGGCTGCCGGTCTCAGGGTTAGTTCCATACCCTTCGCATGGTGAGTATAGCCAGGACACGTACCTGGTGCGCCGACGGCGCTGACGGATGTACACCTTACTATCGACTTTAGGTGGAAGATCCTGCGTCAATGTCTTGTTGGAATGTATTAGAAAGGAGTAGTTGTTGCCAGACTCTGGCTCAGTCGCGACGGTGGAAGCAGCTGTATCGCCCTCATGGCCCGTCTGACGCGAGTCATTCATGGCGTAGATATGATATGCAGGCTAGGTCAACGGAGAAGAGTAGCGAGAGGAGAGGGAAAAGGAGAAGAGGAAGGGAAAGGGAGGAGGAGAATATGAAGCGTCGTCAAAGGCGAGACTCCACTAGTTAAAGTCGTGGTTCCTCCCTTGCTTTCTCGTGTCGCGATAGAACACGCTGAAAACACAAGACGGTACGGGCCCTTGAGCGAGGTATTTGGGTTGGCGCCGATAAGCCCGCTCCGTGCAGGATAATCCGTCCTTTGCCAGCTTATCGTCAGCGAAAAAAAGACCCTGGCGGTTTGTTATCTTGGCCGGTCTCGATAGCGCGTTCTTCCGAGGCAGACTTTAGACGAATAAGTCCCGGATCAGGAGATGAGAAACAACCCAGAACTTTCGCGGACCCGGTCGTATATACGCTTTAAGCACCCCCAAGTATCCTCCGCCAGAAAGCCGCCCCCTTTGTTCTGATCTTCCGAGGAAGCACTCGATGTCGGTCGTCTTTGGTTGTCTTGTTTGCGTCAAAATAAAAATAAAGTCTAGACGCGCTAGACGCGCCCGATAAGCGCGAAAGACAAACGCGGTCGGGAGATCTTAGAGTATCACGTGATGGGTTTCTAGCACACGGAAGCAGCGTTTCGAAAGACACCAAGACGCGTTCTGGCGCTTTTAATACCGTTCTCTTAGAACAAGTTGGCTGCATTAATTCTTGAACTCCACCCATACTTCATTTACTGCCCTATGAAGGTGAGCAATCTTTCTGGATCAGAATTATCTTGCTAATTTGCTCGGGGTTTTATCCATGATTGCAGACCTTTGTTACAGTCTTACAGAGAGTGCTCCATTCTTGGAAATGAATCTCAACGCTACCTACCATGCAATTACTCCGTTTCCTGCGAAAGATCCCGTGCTCTTTTCTCGATATCCTGCTTGACACCTCCATACCTAGGGCAGTGTCCGTCGCCGCTGTTGACCGATTAGTTTACCTACAACATGGGTAATCAGGTGCTAGACATTCATCCGTTCTCCTTTGGCTCCCGCATAATGAGGAAACGTACTTGAGCTTTACTATAGAGTATAGGGCATTTACTTACCCGCAAGGCCCGCCGTGCTTCGGCAAAATTTTTAAAGGACACGCCAGCATGGGATACAGCATACATCCCTATTGCCTCTTCGTACTACTCTGCCAGGGGAACGGTGACAAGATCATTGGCCGACTGACTAATGCAGTGGCTCAAGTACATTTCCTCTCAAGACGCAGACTATCCCTCTCGAACGCCCTGTATTATCATCCGTATCGCGCTCTATTTTGGCATAATGTCATTTCTCAAGAAACCTCTCAATACACCGTGAAGGGCCAACTGGCAAAGCTAGTGCACCTGCCAGGTGTATACCCGATAACTAACGATATTTCGGCCCAAATGTACGCCTAGCAGACAGTGAATTCACATACAAAAGATCTACGTCGTTCTAGTCTTTGATTTGATGGAAGTTTTTTTTGACACGATTATTTTGACTAAAAAAGCTCGAGCGCTCACCATGGTCACGCCAAGAAATGCCCAATAATTAAGAAAACAATTACTCCGTATATCCTGATATCCCTTGTCACTAGCTCGTACTAATAGCTCCCAAGGTTTTATATGAATAATTTCTCCATTCCCATGATCTGTTTTTATTGCCATCCTCAATACTGAGTATATCTGGTTGAGAAACAATATTTATTTCCCGAGTCCCTCAACCACCTAGTTGTGCCTTTGCGACAGAATAAGCGTTCAACCTTTCCGCTTCCGGCTTGGCAGGGCCAGAAATTGTGGGTCAAGAACCACTAGCGTAGAGTCTAACTAAAGGGGAAAGTTGATCACGCTCACAACAAAAGCTAAGATGATATTTGTATTGAGTTACCTCGTAACCTGGCTATAATTTGGTCTTAAGTGGTTTAACGTCTCAACAGCACAAGCGCTCTAGTAGGCCCTTTTCTCATGTCCTCCCACTAGTTGCGGAAATGCCAATTCTATAACTGGCTAATTTTCAAGCAATCAAGTTATTTGCCAGGTCAGACAGCCACAGAACTCTCTGTTGGCTAGCTAGCTAGTTATTTAGGGAGCTTGGATGAGATACAAGCCAGTACTAGCCTAGTTTAGTAGCCTATCGTTGCATATCAAGT